TTGAAAGTGGAAGTAGGAAGTCAGACTGCCAGACTCCATTTTACACTTCGACAGAGCAGGAGGAGAAAAACAGGGTGAGTGTGAACACCAGGATCTGCTTTTTAACACATTAATCACATCAATTCATTGTGTGTGTGTGTGTGTGTGTGTGTGTGTGTGTGTGTGTGTGTGTGTGTGTGTGTGTGTGTGTGTGTGTGTGTGTGTGTGTGTGTGTGTGTGTGTGTGTGTGTGTGTGTGTGTGTGTGTGTGTGTGTGTGTTACTGGTTTATCTCTCAGACTGGAGAAGATGAGTGATTTTAAAGAAGACGAAGAGGACAAATCTCCAGTCCCCAGCTGTCTGTCTCTGGAGAGTGACCGGTCTAAAGAGGAACCTCTAGACTTCAGAGATGAACCCGGACCCTCAGACAGGAAGTAAGAGTCTGTTTCTACTGTGACCTGACCTGGAGAGGATTCAGTGTTTATATTATCTGATAATCAAAACGGTTATTTTATAATTATAATTACATATTACATACATTATAATTATGAGGGCAGTAGAGTACAGAAACAATGTGTAGAGTATAGTATAATGATTCTAACAACCGGGTGAGCTGGTTTTATTTATCATTAGCATATTTATTTTGTGCGGTGCGATAAAATGTAGGGTCAATTCACAGACACAATTTTGTGCCTGGCAACACAAATCAAGTAAAGATGTGAAATTCATATCCCCAGGGTATTCACACAACTTGAAAAGTTACAATTTGAGAGTAAAGTTTGTGACGCTCTGATACAAAAACAGTGTTGAGATTCTGCTCCTGTCGCCACTGACATGCTGAGATAAATCAGAAGAGGGAACATCAGCAGCCAGAGCTCTACAGCACCTCATATTAAATCAGGGTTATTCATGTACCTGTATAAACCAGAGACTGTCTGTGGGGCTAACAATATCATAGCTGCTGTTCTAATGACTGGATGGAGTTATGTTGAGTGTGGATGGATCCGCTACAATGTTAGCCTAGCTTTAACCAAACCGATCTCCATTCAGAAAACAAACATTTGAAAGTATTTTGCTCGTTGTGTTGCAGACAGACCTGACGAAGCATTAACTCAAATCAATATCATTATGTTGTTATGTTGGCATCCTTTCCATATGTTTATTGCAATTAATTAAAGGTGGGTTAGGTAAGTTTGAGAAACCGGCTCGAGATACACTTGTTGTTATATTCCATGGAATGCTCTTAACATCCCGATAGCAATGAATATCTTTGAAGTGCTTTGACAAAAAATCCATAAAATAATATCATCTGTGGAAGCCGTGGCGCTGTAAAAAGCTCGACCAATCATCTGAGCCGGCTAAAGTAACTGGATGGCCTACCTGCCTGTCAGCCTTCCATCTGGGCACAAACTTATCTCGTGCCCTCATTGGTCATGTGCGCGTTCGTGTGTGTTGGAGGAGGGGCTCTGTGAGGAAGTAGCAGATTTCCTCCGGCTGTGTATTTTCAAATTCTAGCACACTAGCTGGTTACTCCAAAATTACCTACCCCACCTTTAACAGGAAATTAAATGTAAATTGGGTTCATAGTGCTAAAGTGTACCAGATTAATTCAGCTGATGTTATGAATCCAGACACAAAGCTGTGTGGTTTCCTAATGATATGAATAACTGACCACTATCTACCTCACCAGGATGAACAATCATCTAGAGATACAGACTTTATTTTAAATATGAAACTAGAATTTGCCACATTGTTGTACCTTTGGTGAGAATCAGCTCCACTAATGTAAAGTGCTGTAAAGGATGTGTTCATCTCCACAGAGGGAAGAGGAAGAGTCCTGTTCCTGTGGAGGAGCAGCTGTCCAGCTGTGCTCTGTGTCAGGACGTCCTGAAGGATCCAGTCTCTACCAGCTGTGGACACTGGTTCTGCAGACAGTGCATCGCCTCATACTGGGAGCAGCTTCCTCCATCAGGAGACTCCTGCTGTCCTCAGTGTGGAGAAAGATGGAGCATTTTACAAAGTAAGAGGCCGAACACATGCAGCCTCTTTACCGCTGTCTGGGTGCTGGGTGTCTAATCTTCCATAGAAAAACTGTGTCATCTGATCCCTTCTTCAAGGCTTTGGTTTTAAAGTGTGTACACAAATATTTCACCTGGGACAGCAGTGTTTCCCTAAAAAACGCTTTCTGTCTTACTCAGACATTACTACATTAGCCTAGCTCTTATATAACATTTACGTATGATAGTATAAATATCTGGCAGCTAGTATTTGTTGTTCCTTCTGGAGTCTTCATGTCCAGGATCTTTTGTGTTGTAAAGTATAGACATTAAAATGTTTTATAAAAATCATGACATTTAAAATCCTGACTGTTCAGATTCTCAAAAGCATTTTCCTGATTCTCTCATGTTCCCTTCTCTTCCAGCAGATAGTGGTCTGCAGGAGGTTCTAGATGAACATAGGCTCAGTCTGAGGAGGAGATGTGAACAAGTGACTGAAGGAACTGATAGAAGTGAAACCCTCCTCAACAGGATCTACACTGAGCTCTACATCACACAAGGCCAGAGTGAAGAGGTTAATACCCAACATGAGGTGAGGCAGCTGGAGACAGCTTCCAAGAAAGAGACCCACCATGACACTCCAATCAAGTGCCAGGACATCTTTAAAGCCTCACCTGACCAACAGACTCTCATCAGAGCGGTCCTGACCAACGGAGTCGCTGGAGTTGGAAAAACCTTCTCAGTGCAGAAGTTCACTCTGGACTGGGCCGAGGGTTTGGGAAACCAAGATGTCAGTCTGGTGATCCCGCTCTCCTTCAGGGAGCTGAACCTGATCAAGGTGAGCAGTACAGTCTTCTCAGGCTGCTCCATGTTTTCCATCCAACCTTACAGAAGGTCACAGCAGAGCAGCTGGCTGTCTGTAAAGTGCTGCTCATCTTTGACGGCCTGGATGAAAGCAGACTTTCTCTGGACTTCAGAAACAGTGAGGTTGTGTCTGATGTCTCTCAGCAGTCCTCAGTCAACGTGCTGCTGACAAACCTCATCAGGGGGAAGCTGCTTCCCTCGGCTCTCGTCTGGATAACTTCCAGACCTGCAGCGGCCAATCAGATCCCTCCTGAGTGTGTGGACAGGGTAACAGAAGTACGAGGCTTCACTGACGCCCAGAAGGAGCAGTACTTCAGGAGGAGATCGAGTGATGAAGACCTGTCCAGCAGAATCATCTCTCACATCAAGAGCTCCAGGAGCCTCCACATCATGTGTCAGATCCCAGTCTTCTGCTGGATCACTGCTGCAGTTCTGGACCACATGTTGACTACAGACCAGAGAGGAGAGCTGCCCCAGACCCTCACTGACATGTACTCACACTTCCTGCTGGTCCAGACCAAGAGAAAGAAGCAGAAGTATAAAGCGGGACATGAGACGAGTCCACAGCAGCTGACGGAGGCTGACAGGGAGGTTCTTCTGAAGCTGGGGAGGCTGGCGTTTGAACACCTGGAGAAAGGACACATCATGTTCTACCAAGAAGACCTGCAGCGCTGTGATCTTGATGTCAACGAGGCCTTGGTGCACTCAGGAGTTTGTACAGAGATCTTCAAAAGAGAGAGTGTGATCTTCCAGAAAACAGTCTACTGCTTTGTTCATCTGAGCATTCAGGAGTTCCTGGCTGCAGTCTACATTTTGCACTGTTACACCAACAGAGACACAGAGGTACTGAAGAACTTCCTGCAGGGAGACTGGCCCTATGAGAACAGTGAAAACAGAGATCAGGTTTACCCATCCCTGGATGTCTTCCTTAATGGAGCCATGGAGAAATCCCTCAGAAGTGAAAATGGCCACCTGGACCTGTTTGTCCGCTTTCTCCACGGCCTCTCTCTGGAGTCCAACCAGAGACTGTTAGGAGGCCTGCTGGGTCGCACAGACAACCGTCCAGAAATCATCCAGAGACTGTTAGGAGGCCGGCGGGGTCGCATAGACAAACGTCCAAAGATCATCCAGAGACTATTCAGAGGCCAGCTGGGTCGCACAGACAACAGTCCAGAAATCATCCAGAGAGCCATCAACAACCTGAAGGAGATGAGAAGTGATGAAATCTCTCCTGACAGGAGCATCAACATCTTCCACTGTCTGACAGAGATGAAGGACCACTCAGTACATCAGGAGATCACAGAGTTCCTGAAGTCAGGGAACAGATCAGAGAAGGAACTCTCTGAGATCCATTGCTCTGCTCTGGCCTACATGCTGCAGATGTCAGAGGAGGTTCTGGATGAGTTGGACCTGAGGAAGTACCACACATCAAAGGAGGGACGACAGAGACTGATACCAGCTGTGAGGAACTGCAGGAAGGCAGAGTAAGTCCAGATGTGATTAGCTTTATAAATTGATGTGGATCAGAAGTTTGTTTCTTCAAATAAACACTATAAAATGTTTGATGTTAAATACTCTGAGAGCAAAATTAAATGATCCAGTTATTCTATTTATATATTGTGACATAATAAAAAAAAAAAAAAACTTTTCTTCACATTATTTTGAGTGATGGAGGCGACATGTCAAACACATGAAGGACTTTAGAGGTTTTCTCAGAGCAGCATGTGATCACAACATACAGCAGTATTTACAGTGATCGGTGAAAGCAGTTATTAATATATCATTGCAGTTTCTTAAACATTAAATCAGATCTGTTTTTACCACAATGCTTAAGAGTTTAAAATAATGTCTGACAGGCTGACAATGAATAAAAACTCTATTACTAAATTAAATCGACATAATATGTTAAAAGTTGTTCCATTTCAAATTCAGTAAGTTAATTAAATGTTTCCTCTGTTTTTATACTAACACAAGTTGTGATATATGTGTCATTATAGACTTTCGGGTTGTGGACTCTCAGAGACTGAATGTGAAGTCGTGGCCTCAGCTCTGAAGTCTGACCCCTCCCACCTGAGAGATCTGGACCTGAGTTTCAACAGAGAGATGAAGGACTCAGGAGTGGAGCTGCTCAGTTCTGGACTGAAGAGTCCAAACTGCAGACTTGAGGCTCTCAGGTCAGTTCACTGACTGCAGTTCATACAGATCTGTTTGTGTTTATGATTTTCAGAATTTGCCTGAAGACATTTTAATGCCTTTATATTTTTTCTGTGTTTCCAAATGGAAATGGAATCCAAACTTTAAGAATAGCAAAGATCAGAGAAGGTGAATGTGTGAGGGAGAGTGTTTGAGCTTCCACAGACTCACTCTGTGCTCCATGAGTCAGTGGAGATGCTGTCAGTACTGATGAGCTGTGAGGGAGAGGAAGGAGTTGTTAAACATCTGATGAGAGAAACTGCTGCAGAGAGTTCCAGATGATCAGGGATTTGTTTCTACATCATTGCTGACGTTAAAACATTGTTCAGCTCTGATCAGATTATTAAAACATTGAGTTATTTCAAACAGGAACATTGTTTTCTAAAGTTACATCATGTTTTCTTTATTCAGTCTGAGGAGCTGCAGTTTGTCAGAGATCAGCTGTTCTGCTCTGATCTCAGCTCTGAAGTCCAACATCCATCTGAGAGATCTGGACCTGAGTGAGAACGCTCTGCAGGATTCAGGAGTGGAGCTGCTGAGAGATCTTCTGGAGAGTCCAGACTGCAGACTGGAGGCTCTCAGGTCAGTTCACAGACTCTCTGTTACTGCAGACATCAGGCTGATATCACTCTGATCCTCACTGAGCATCTTAATGCTACAGTTTAAAGCAAACAGATATTGTTCTAAACTGTATTAAAGTAAACAGGTATTATCTTGAACTGTATTGAAGTGAACATGTATTATTTGGGACTGTTTAAAGTAATCCTATATATCTAAACCTTCTTACTTACACTCCATGACCCAGAGACCCAGACACACACACCTACACCCCCTCCTGTCTTCATGCAGCACACACACATAAACTCCTCAACCCAGATATCAGCAACACACACACATATGCCTCTGCTTATCAGCATGCACACACACACACACACACACACACACACACACACACACACACACACACACACACACACATACACTTTCCCTCACTAACACACACACATGTTCTTTTTTCAAGGTTCCTTGCTGGGAATAATCCGAAGCACCAATATTTCTGTGTACAATGTTTGATTGTTTTAAAAGAATAGTTTGTGTGAAATCTTCCCTGGGAAATTAAAGGAGTTAACCCAGGTATAAGATACAAAGTGATTCTGACCTTGTATAGTTCCGATGCTGTCACGCTCTGTTCAGAAGAAAGATACTTTTTCCCAGAACTCTAATTCGCTTAGGAGTAAAATGGGACGGAAGAGCCGACACATCTCCACCTCCAAATATGTCCATATATACTGTTGTTTCTTCATGCAAAAGGCCCCCTGTTTCTGACTGGCTGGTCCCGATATCTGTATGGCACGGCAGTAGAGCGGGGAGCCCGGAGTGTTCTGTTTCAGGGCACTCTGTATTTCGTATTGTGTTTTTTACTGTATTAAAATCAGATTATTGTTATAACTTTTATGCCGGTGTGTTGAACTCCCTCTTTTATCAATCTGACTCATCTAACGGACGGCGCGGAGCACGGGTGGGCTTTGAGCCACAGATATTGTGTTTGCTCCTACAAGTTGCATAATGCAATGTTGATCTTTACATTTAAATATAACAACAAAAAACCTTCACTGCAGAATTCACTCTGAACCTTTTAAACAGCTGAAATTCATCTTGTATTCTCCATCATGATTTTAACAAATGATATCAAATACATTAATTAAATAGTTATATTAAATCTATCCAACACTAACAAGTATGTTCAGTTGTTGCTGTTTCCAACATGTTCCTGAAGCTACATGATGCTGATACTGACTGAAGAGTTCACTCTGAAGATGCTGTGATTTGATGACTCCACTGTTCCTAAAATACATATTCTGGAGGTTTTTCTTCACATTTAAAATTCATCCTGAATTGTGATCTTTGTAAACGTTGTGATCTTGAGTTGAATCAGTTTCTGTGGTTTGTATTTGTCTGGCTGCACATCATGAGTTAGTGAAGATGGAGCAGAGTCTCAGATGTGAAGTCTCCTTGTTTTATTGAAGTAGAAGCACGTTGTCTTTAATATTAATGAGAGCTCTTTCCCTCTTTCTGTATCTTACAGTTTTTAACCTGTTTGGAGTTTCCACTTTCTGACCTTCTTCAGCTCTGAGCAGATTATTAAACCTGGAGTTATTTCAAACAGGAACATTGTTTTCTAAAGTTACATCATGTGTTCTTTATTCAGACTGAGGGGCTGCAGGTTGTCAGAGATTAGCTGTTCTGCTCTGGCCTCAGCTCTGAAGTCCAACATCCATCTGAGAGATCTGGACCTGAGTCACAACGCTCTGCTGGATTCAGGAGTGGAGCTGCTGAGAGATCTTCTGGAGAGTCCAGACTGCAGACTGGAGGCTCTCAGGTCAGTTCACTGACTCTTTGTTACTGCTGGAGATCTCATGTGTTTCATTAACATTGAACCTAATGCTTGAACAACCACACATTTGTATATGTCGTTGTGAGGGTTTTCCTGCTCACCCAGTTAAAAAGGACAGAAGGAGAGGAAGGCTTGCCTCAAAGAAAGCTTTATTGACTGGCCACAGCTTGCAAACAACACATCAATACTTTAGGAAACAGACAGAACACTGCTGCCAGTGACAGGCTTTCTTGGGGCAAGTCCTTCTGCCCCCAGGACCCAGACCAAGAGACAAGAACCAGGTTACTGACATGCTTTACTGTTCACCTGGTTACCTGATCCTTGTCCAGCTGTCTGGAGCCAGCCCCATCCCTCCAGCAGCCGGCGCTCTAACCACACCCCACTGCCACAGTCGCTTTGTACATATTCTTATTTTTCTTGTACTACATTTAGTCTGCAGTCATAAAAGTTGACTGTTTCTTCAAATATATATGTTAGATATCCACTGTTAGTTGTTCAAGTAAATGTATGTTGTCTTTAGTAAATGGTCACATCTGAATAAAGAAGTTCATCTGAACTAATATTAGTTTCACATTGATCTCTGAAGTATACATGTTTTTCTTGCTTCCCATTGATTTCAATGTTTTCACAGATAATAAACAGAAGGCTGATATTATGATGATCCACAATAACAGAAAGACAGTCACTGTAATTCAGGGAAAAGCTCATTGATTAGGAGACAGGAATGTTGAGCTACACTTAATATACCTGAACATCTGATTGGATTATAAACAGATTTGTATCCTCATCATGTTTTCATTATTCAGACTGGAGTTATGCAGCTTGTCAGAGATCAGCTGTTCTGCTCTGATCTCAGCTCTGAAGTCCAACATCCATCTGAGAGATCTGGACCTGAGTCACAACGAGCTGCAGGATTCAGGAGTGGAGCTGCTGAGAGATCTTCTGGAGAGTCCAGACTGCAGACTGAAGACTCTCAGGTCAGTTCTCCATCTTCAACTTGTGTGCTGAGATGAATATGTGAGAGTTGTGTTGACTCTGAGCTGCAGACATCAGGCTGATATCACTCTGATCCTCACTGAGCCTCTTAATGCTAGAGTTGCATCATGCAATGTTAATCTTTACATTTAAATATAACAACAAAAAACCTTCACTGCAGAATTCACTCTGAACCTTTTAAACAGCTGAAATTCATCTTGTATTCTCTATCATGATTTTAACAAATGATATCAAATACATTAATTAAATAGTTATATTAAATGTATCCAACAATAACAAGTATGTTCAGTTGTTGCTGTTTCCAACATGTTCCTGAAGCTACATGATGCTGATACTGACTGAATAGTTCACTCTAAAGATGCTGTGATTCGATGACTCCACTGTTCCTAAAATACATATTCTGGAGGTTTTTCTTCACATTTAAAATTCATCCTGAATTGTGATCTTTGTAAACGTTGTGATCTTGAGTTGAATCAGTTTCTGTGGTTTGTATTAGTCTGGCTGCACATCATGAGTTAGTGTAGATGGAGCAGAGTCTCAGATGTGAAGTCTCCTCGTTTTATTGAAGTAGAAGCACGTTGTCTTTAATATTAATGAGAGCTCTTTCCCTCTTTCTGTATCTTACAGTTTTTAACCTGTTTGGAGTTTCCACTTTCTGACCTTCTTCAGCTCTGAGCAGATTATTAAACCTGGAGTTATTTCAAACAGGAACATTGTTTTCTAAAGTTACATCATGTGTTCTTTATTCAGACTGGAGTTCTGCAGGTTGTCAGAGATCAGCTGTTCTGCTCTGGCCTCAGCTCTGAAGTCCAACATCCATCTGAGAGATCTGAACCTGAGTGGCAACGATCTGCAGGATTCAGGAGTGGAGCTGCTGAGAGATCTTCTGGAGAGTCCAGACTGCAGACTGGAGGCTCTCAGGTCAGTTCACTGACTCTCTGTTACTGCTGGAGATCTCATGTGTTTCATTGACAAATGAACCTAATGCTTGAACAACCACACATTTGTGTATGTCGTTGTGAGGGTTTTCCTGCTCACCCAGTTAAAAAGGACAGAAGGAGAGGAAGGCTTGCCTAAAAGAAAGCTTTATTGACTGGCCACAGCGTGCAAACAATACATTAATACTTTAGGAAACAGACAGAACACTGCTGCCAGTGACAGGCTTTCTTGGGGCAAGTCATTCTAACCCCAGGACCCAGACCAAGAGACAAGAACCAGGTTACTGACATGCTCTACTGTTCACCTGGTTACCTGATCCTTGTCCAGCTGTCTGGAGCCAGCCCCATCCCTCCAGCAGCCGGCGCTCTAACCACACCCCACTGCCACAGTCGCTTTGTTCATATTCTTATTTTTCTTGTAATACATTTAGTCTGCAGTCATAAAAGTTGACTGTTTCTTAAAATATATATGTTAGATATCGATAGTTACGGCTGTAACTACGGTTCTATGTGTCCCGGATGACCGCCAGAGGCGGTGCTTTAAGCACTGGATATGTCCATAGCGCGCATGCGCAGCTCGAGTACCAATAACAACAAAGTCACCTGTGACCCACGTGACACCGGCTATATCAGCCGGTGTTATCAGAGGATCTGTTCCCAGAATCTTCTCGCGAGCACACAAGAATTCTGAGTGACAGGGAACTCTGGCGGTCATCCGGGACTCATAGAACCGTAGTTACAGCCGTTCTATTCTATCCCTACTGACCGCCAGAGGCGGTGCTTTCAGCACTGGATGACTTATACCAACAATGTCATGAAGAATCCAAGCCCTTGCTCACCACTGGAAACAGCGGAGCTCGGCAAAAGGACCACGCCCAAAGAATGGGGAGTGGCGACATTGGCCTGATGACAACTGGAGAATGTGCCAGAAGACGCCCACGACGCCGCGGCGCAGATGGTCTCCAGGGGCACCACCCTCAGGGCAGCCCAAGATGTTGAGATGCTCCTTGTAGAGTGGCATCTCAGCCTGATGGCAGGGGGCGGCCACTGGCCCCGTAAGCCTGTGAGATGGTATCGACAACCCAGTGGGGCAGCCACTGGTTAGAGGGCATCACCTCCTTTAGTGCCGCCAGGGCAAAATCAAGAGTTGCTCCTCCTGCCGTATACAGGCAGTAGCCTATATGCCCTTTGGGCACCCCCAGGGCACAGCAACTTCGACGTGCCGTACTCCTGAATGTGAAAGCGTGCCAGCTGGGCAGGCTGATTGAAGTGGGTTTGTGGAAGGACCCCGGGCGGGAATGCCACATTTGCCCAAAGGGCAACGCCTGAGAGTCCCACCTCGGGCATGTATTGTTTATGGAGAGGACATGCAACTCCCCGACTCGCTTCCCTGAGGCTATGGCAAGCAGAAATCCTTCGTGGGCAGCCACCTAAGCCCCACCTGGGCCAGGGGCTCGAAGGGAGGAGATTATAGGGCATCCGGCAGCAGGGACAGGTCCCAAGCCGGAGCCCTCGGGGTGCTAGGGGGATGCTGCCGTAAAGCCCCTCTCATAAAGAGGGACACCGAACGCCGTCGACCCGAACATGTCGGGAAGAAATCGCAGCCACATAAATTCAGAGTGGAGTGAGAACGTCCACTATCTAGAAGGGACTGTTGTCTAAGCAACAACGTACATGCTGTCCCCAAGGAACACGCACATTCTTTCCCCCCAGTTGGGGTAGAAAGTGCGTGAGTGCAAGCTGCACAGCCCAAAACTCTAGCACGTTGACCTGGCGCGCACTCTCCTGGGCAGACCGCTGACCCTGAACGGTCCTGCCCTGCCGCACTGCACCCCACCCTGAGAGACATGCACCTATGGTGATGGTCTCCTGGCGGGATGGGATGGCGCCCATGGGCACGCCCACCAGGAGATAGGCCCTGCCCCTCCAGCGTGACAGAGAGTGGAGGCAATGCTGCGACACCCTGACTTCCCTGTGCCTGTGCCACTTGGCGTCCAAGTGAAGGCTGTTCAGCCACATCTGCATGGGGCGCAACGACAGCGGGCCTAAGGGCCCAGCGGCCGAGGCAGCTGCCAGTCTGCCCAAGGGCCGGAGGAACTGAATATAAGGCACCCTCTTGCCCGGCCCACGTGGAAGTAGGCATCCCTCAAGTCCACGGTTGAGAACCACTCCACCTGTGCATATGCAGTGATCAGCATATAGAATGGCAGCACCTTCAGGAATCTCTTGATTCCTCTGAGGTCCAAGATCGGGCGAAATCCGCCGACTTTCTTGCTCACGAGAAAGTACGCCGAGTAGAACCCCCTGGGCTAAGCAGAGGGTCTTACTGGCTTGATTGCGTCCTTGGACAGAAGGACGGACAACTATTGGGCCAGAGCTAGGGCCCCTGCCGGATCGCTGACAACTGTCAATTAGACCCAGCCGAAGGCTAGGGGCAGGAGCTGCAGTCCGTACCCCTGGGTTAAGGTGAAAACCACCCAAGGGATGGAAGTACAGACCGCCCAGTAACTGAGCTGCTGCTGGGAAAGCAGCCGACGACCGCCCCCGGAATTTCAGGGCCCAGCCCCCCGGCCCCTGGAGCCTCTTGGGGGGCGCCGGTAAGACTCTGGGGCACGAGGCCGCCTGGAAGGCGGGCGACCTGGGGCACGAAGTCATTGGGAGGCGGTTGAGTGGGCCGCTAAGACCTCTGCAGACCACCCCTGCAATCCGGCGGCTGAGTGCGGCTGCTATAGCGGCCCCTGGGCCTGCTGGGAGTGGGCACAGGTCCGCGAAGACCCGAGAGCTGCTGCCTGGTCTGCCTAGCTTGGGCGGCACGCTCCAGTGCCTCCAGGGCAGCTGACCTAAACAGCTCCCCTGGCTCGACTGGTACGCTACGGAGGACTCTCCTACATGCCTCCGTTAGTGGTGACTGGGCCAGCGAAACCTGGCGACGAGTCTGTACCAGCGACAAGGCGTCCTCATACAGAGGTGCGTCAACCGAAGGAGGTGCGTCAGCCAAAGCAGGTGCGTCAGCCAAAGGAGGGGAGTCAACCGAAGGAGGGGGGGGGGGACAGGCGGCCCGCTAGCAGCCTCTACACCGGGCCCAGGCTGAAGGGCCAAGAGGCGACTTCATCATGCCCCTATCGGCAGCTAGCCGATCCACTTTAGAGGACAGCCTGTTTCTAGTCCTTCTATTGGGGGGAGCACACATAGCCATCGCTCCCTCAAGTCGCCGGGAACGGCCAAATTGATCTAGAGGAGGATGTGACAAGGAGAGGTGTCTGTTGGCTGCTGCCAGACGTTCCACCTCAGTGATTCTAGCCATTCTGAGCGCCCGAGGCATGCAGCTACAGCTCATGCAGGCGTTTACCGTGAGAACCTCCCTCAGATGCTCGAATTTCGTCCCCACTGACTGCCAGAGGCAGGAGGGGCAGCGGTCGTGGCCGTCCTCGGGCTCAAGAGAAGCCATACAGGCGCTACATGAATGAACCATTCTGTAGGTAGCCAGATGCAGCGTAGCAGGGAGCGGGTGCGGGAACACCGCCTTCACCAGCTACCTGCTTAATGGAAAGAGTAGAGCGTTGCTGCTACTCGCCGAACAGAAAGAGGGATGTAATTACACCCACGTTACCGGCAGAGGGAGCGGGAGCGAGAGCACTACCTTCACCTGGCTGGATTAATAAACACAGCAGTTCAGCGTCTACCAGGAGCGGGGGCGAGAACACTACCTTCCCTGGTTGAGTTTGAGACTAATGCCAGATGCAGCGTAACTGGGAGCGGGTGCTGGAACACAGCCTTCACCAGCTACCTGCTTAACAGAAAAACAGGGCAGTTCCGCGTCTACCAGGAGCGGGGGCGAGAACACTGCCGGCTGAGTTAGAGACGAATGCCAGATGCAGCATAACCGGGAGTGGGTGCGGGAACACAGCCTTCACCAGCTACCTGCTTAACGGAAAAACAGGGCAGTTCCGCGTCTACCAGGAGCGGGGGCGAGAACACTGCCTTCACTGGTTGAGTTAGAGACGAATGCAAGATGCAGCGTAACCGGGAGCGGGTGCGGGAACACAGCCTTCACCAGCTACCTGCTAAACGGAAAGACAAGGCAGTTCAGCGCCTACCAGGAGCGGGGGCGAGAACACTGCCTTCACTGGTTGAGTTAGAGACGAATGCCAGATGCAGCGTAACCGGGAGCGGGTGCGGGAACACAGCCTTCACCAGCTTAACGGAAACACGAGGCAGTTTGGCGTCTACCAGGAGCGGGGGCGAGAACTGCCTTCACTGGTTGAGTTAGAGACGAACGCCAGATGCAGCGTAACCGGGAGCGGGTGCGGGAACACAGCCTTCACCGGCTATCTGCTTAACGGAAAAACTAGGCAGTTCAGCGTCTACCAGGAGCGGGGGCGAGAACACTGCCTTCACTGGTTGAGTTAGAGACGAATGCCAGATGCAGCGTAACCGGGAGCGGGTGCGGGAACACAGCCTTCACCAGCTACCTGCTGAACGGGAAGAGTAGAGCGGTGCTACTACTCGCCGAACAGAAAAAGGGATGTAGCTACATCCGCATTACCGGCAGAGGGAGCGGGAGCGAGAGCACTGCCTTCACCTAGCTGGGTAAAATAGAAGCTTAACAGTATACGCAAGACGTTAGCCGAGCGGCTGCTGCTAACGATCAAGCGAGATCAAGTCAAATACCACACATGTTTAAGACCAGATAACTAGCTTCTAAAGAAGATAACAGCACAGAGCCGTAGTTACAGCAGTAACCATGGCCAGTACTTACACGGCTTAGAACCGTAGTTACAGTCGTAACTATGGCCAGTACTTGCATGGCTTGGAACCGTAGTTACAGTAGTAACTATGGCCAGTACTTACATGGCTTAGAACCGTAGTTACAGTAGTAACTATGGCCAGTACTTACGCAGCATAGAGTCGTAGTTACGGTATTGACTATGGCCAGTACTTGCACGGCTTGGAACCATAGTTACTGTAGTAACTATGGCCAGTACTTACGGCTTAAAACCGTAGTTACAGTAGTAACTATGGCCAGTACTTACACAGCATAGAGCCGTAGTTACGGTATTGACTATGGCCAGTACTTACACGGCTTGGAACCGTAGTTACAGTAGTAATTATGGCCAGTACTTACGGCTTAGAACCTTAGTTACAGTAGTAACTGTGGCCGGTGCCTAAAAGTTTCAGCCAAACGGCTGCCCACTAGATAATATAATATTGGGAGGATGAAATCCTCCTTAATGGCCACACATGCAGAGCACACAGCACACACAGTGAAGATTGTTCTCTGCATATCGTCCTAGTGCTAGGAGTCTAGTACTAGGAGCAGTAAATACAACGATATAGCGCTACTGCAACCATACCATGCGTTTACCGGGAGCGGAAGCGAGAGCACTGCCCTCACCGGCTGAGTTAAATAATGAAGCTTAACAGTACATGCAAGGTGTTATCCAAAAGGCTGCTGCTAACAATCAAGCAACCAAGTCAGAACACAATGTTAAGACCAGATAATTAGCTTCTAAGAAAGAGAACAGCCCGCATAGAACCGTAGGCCATGGTTACAGTAGTAACCGCACATGCGGAACACACAGCACCCGCAGTGAAGATGTTCTCTGCATATCATCCTAGTGCTAGGAGTCTAGTACTAGGAGCAGTAATACAACGATCTAGCGCTACTGCAATCAAACCCTATGTTACCGGGAGCGGGAGCACTGCCCTCACCGGCTGAGTTAATAATTCACTCATAGTGAAACCGGATGTTCAAAAAGTCTAGTACTAGGAGCAGTAAACAACGATCTAGCGCTACTGCAATCAAACCCTATGTTACCGGGAGCGGGCTTTCCATACTAAATTGAATGAGGGACGCAGCCAAAGCTGGGACTCAAATACTAATGATAGCTCGGGCACAACGCCACAAGCAGAACTTTCAAAAGAGCATAAGGGCAACTTTATGGGAGAGGAAGCGGGAACACTGTCGTCACCAGAAAGTCTAAGCCAAACAAAAAATAAGACAGCAATCAGGACAACTTGGCTGGTAGAGGGTGCGGGGACACAGCCATCACCAGCAACAAGCTGACACAAACCTGTCTGTCGAGGCTCTGCACAGCCGGCCACAGCTCCTGGAGGACGCGTTAACGACCCGTAGCTCCGACTGTCAGTCGCGAAGCTGCACGCGGCCAGCTGCTTGCAGAGCAATCCCTCAGATCAAACGTTCAAATCTGAATGCTGTAGGCTACAAACATGTAGCCACGGTAACCTCGCGCAGCGAGAAGATGAAAGGAACAGATCTTCTGACGACACCAGCTGATATAGCCGGTGTCACGTGGGTCACAGGTGACTTTGTTGTTATTGGTACTCGAGCTGTGCATGCGGGCTATGGACATATCCCGTGCTTAAAGCACCGCCTCTGGCGGTCAGTAGGGACGAAATAGAACCACTGTTAGTTGTTCAAGTAAATGTATGTTGTCTTTAGTAAATGGTCACATCTGAATAAAGAAGTTCATCTGAACTAATATTAGTTTCACATTGATCTCTGAAGTATACATGTTTTTATTGCTTCCCATTGATTTCAATGTTTTCACAGATAATAAACAGAAGGCTGATATTATGATGATCCACAATAACAGAATGACAGTCACTGTAATTCAGGGAAAAGCTCATTGATTAGGAGACAGGAATGTTGAGCTACACTTAATATACCTGAACATCTGATTGGATTATAAACTGATTTGTATCCTCATCATGTTTTCTTTATTCAGACTGTGGAGCTGCAGGTTGTCAGAGATCAGCTGTTCTGCTCTGGCCTCAGCTCTGAAGTCCAACATCCATCTGAGAGATCTGGACCTGAGTCACAACGCTCTGCAGGATTCAGGAGTGGAGCTGCTGAGAGATCTTCTGGAGAGTCCAGACTGCAGACTGGAGACTCTCAGGTCAGTTCTCCATCTTTAACTTGTGTGCTGAGATGAATATGTGAGAGTTGTGTTGACTCTGAGCTGCAGACATCAGGCTGATATCACTCTGATCCTCACTGAGCCTCTTAATGCTAGAGTTGCATAATGCCAGTTTGTGGCAGCGGCCGCAGAATAAATATATTGATTTAACAGTAGTTTGGTTAAACCACTAAGTCCGACAACGCCACCCCGGGAATTTCACCCAGGGAAATATAACGAGTTTTAAGTCACTAGGACCAGGGGCGCCGTAAGGGGGTGAAAAGTTAGGACGATTCTAAGGGCCCGTGACTGACATTACATTACATGTTACTTGTTAGACGTTTTTAACCAAAGCGACTTTCATACTCAATACTGTGGACAATCCCGACAGGAGCAATTTGGGGTGAAGTGTCTCAAGGACAAAACGACATGCTGACTGCAGTGGGGTTTGAACCTGTGACCCCCTGATCCGAACACCTACGGACACCCCACAGAGCCACACGCCTCCACAGTTACTGCCTGGGGCCCAAACTACTTTAGAACATTAAGAAAAAAATGTTTAAGTAACCAATGTGATATCTGGGGCCCAAAATCCCTGGCGGCGCCCCTGACTAGGACACACAGGTTTGGTGATTGATGGAACAAGAGACGTGGTTCAACTATCAAAAATAGAACAGTTTATTCGTGTAGAATGGTAAAAATACAATTTTTAAAAACATTCACACAAGGCTATATCCAAAAAGGAAAACTAACAAGGGGGCTGAGGGGGGAGAGGGTCAACGAATGAGTGGAGGGATCCTGCAAAAACCAACTTAAGTCACCCCGGTCACACGTGTTCCACACTCACACAATCACACGGAGAAAAGATCCAAAAACCCGGGGGAAGCCACCACCTCGGACACCAACACCATCACCTTCAGCTCTCAGTAACTGAAACAGGAACAAAGGGAAAACACAATAAGTGGGGGCAAAAGCACAGAATAACTCAAAAATGAAATAAACCAAAATTAGCCGCAGCCATACTGGCAATCATGCGGCATTATGCAACTCTAGCATTAATAATAACAATGTTGATCTTTACATTTAAATATAACAAAAACCTTCACTGAAGAATTCACTCTGAACCTTTTAAACAGCTGAAATTCATCTTGTATTCTCCATCATGATTTTAACAAATGATATCAAATACATTAATTAAATGATTATATTAAAACGATCCAACAATAACAAGTATGTTCAGTTGTTGCTGTTTCCAACATGTTCCTGAAGCTACATGATGCTGATACTGACTGAATAGTTCACTCTGAAGATGCTGTGATTTGATGACTCCACTGTTCCTAAAATACATATTCTGGAGGTTTTTCTTCACATTTAAAATTCATCCTGAATTGTGATCCTTGTATCGTTGTGATCTTGAGTTGAATCAGTTTCTGTGGTTTGTATTTGTCTAGCTGCACATCATGAGTTAGTGTAGATGGAGCAGAGTCTCAGATGTGAAGTCTCCTCGTTGTATTGAAGTAGAAGCACGTTGTCTTTAATATTAATGAGAGCTCTTTCCCTCTTTCTGTATCTTACCGTTTTTAACCTGTTTGGAGTTTCCACTTTCTGACCTTCTTCAGCTCTGAGCAGATTATTAAACCTGGAGTTATTTCAAACAGGAGCATTGTTTTCTAAAGTTACATCATGTGTTCTTTATTCAGACTGAGTGGCTGCAGCTTGTCAGAGATCAGCTGTTCTGCTCTGGCCTCAGCTCTGAAGTCCAACATCCATCTGAGAGATCTGGACCTGAGTGAGAACGCTCTGCAGGATTCAGAGAAGCTGCTGAGAGATCTTCTGGAGAGTCCAGACTGCAGACTGGAGACTCTCGGGTCAGTACGGGGTCTCTGCTGGTTCAGCAGTATTGTATTAAACACAGGGAGGTGTTTCTCTCACTGGGGAATCACAACAGATCAGTGATGTTACCACTGACTGCAGGTTCTTTCATTCTTCCATCAACTATATATTGTAAGCTGAAAATGCAAAGCCACATTTAGTTAGTTAGCAACTTTCTAACAGACATATAGGATTTTACAGAAGAGTGGAAAAGGTTTTCTGTTTTGTTTCCTGTCATGTTTTTAGTTTCTAGCCTAATGAGCAGTTACTTCCTGTGATGCAGCTGAGAGCTGTGGCACTCAGTCGTAGTGTTGCAGAGAAGATATGATGGGATGTAAAGCATGAGATCAGTCAGGACTCTGAAGCTGACTCAAAGAACAAACACTTATTTTAAACTTGATCCAAAACTGTTGGATTGTGTTCATCCCTGCAGGATCAGAGGTGAGACGATCACAGCCAAGATGCAGAAGACCTGTGAGTACTGAAACCATATCCTCCATTCATCAAACTATTGTACATTAAATCTGATCTTAAAATATATTTATACTACAAGAATTATTATTATTGCTTTATGATTATGTTTCTCTGTTCCCACCTCTCTCCATCAGGTGACTCCGATGTGGAACAGGAAGTGAAGACAGACAGAAAGGTGAGAGAGGAGCAGTTGAACAGAGTGGAGTATATTTATTTCACCACTGAATGAAATATAATTATTAGGGCTGTCAAGTTAAATGCACTAACGCTCGCAATTGATCTAGAAACCTAAACAATATCCCGCCCCAATGTGCTGTGATTGACTGTTACTGTGATTGGCTGGTAATACTGTGCTGTGATTGGCTGGTAATACTGTGCTGTGATTGGCTGGTAATACTGTGCTGTGATTGGCTGCTACTACTGTGCTGTGATTGGCTGGTAATAATGTGCTGTGATTGGCTGGTACTGCTGTGACATGTTAACACGTTAATAACCCGTTTGAAATTGTCGATGAACTCAGATGATTCAGACTCATTTGCATTTTTCAAATTGGTCTGAATATGTTGTGGAATTGTGGTTTGGTTTCATGAAGCTAGAATTTAACTTGATTTCTATTAAAATAACTACCTTTGTTTGTTCCAGGCTCCTGAATCCTTCTCACCTGAACTCACAACTGAGTCTTCATACAGGTAATCCTATAACATGACCAAACATTATTTTAAACACATGACAAATATATATTCATTTAATTGTGTTTGATTTCATGTCTTTCACCTTGAGGTATTGCATCCAATCTCTTTCCAACAGACGTAAATAAAACAATGCCTCTGTGTGTAGGAAGGATTGTTTTCCTGTGCCAGTCTAGATCCTCGCTGGACTAGACATTTTGTTAATTTAATGAAAATGTGTTTGCACACACATTCTGATGCATGTGGACACATCTTCAGTGATGTTCCTGTAATCATCAGGTGTTTCAGATCTTTCAACAAACCCTCCTCCAGGTCAGACTCCAGCTGGATGAACACCTGTCAGTCAGAACACAGGCCAGTGAAGGCTTGTTGTAGTAACCTGTCCCCTGTGTGTCTACAGGTTCAGGTGTCCTGGTCCAGGTGAGTTCCAGTGCGCTTCGACTGGCCTGGTGTTCGTCATGGCTCAGGAGGCGGAGCTTCTGTACAGGACGGTCCCTTGGGAGGAGAGCTTCCTCCAATCAGCTGGCAAGAAGGCAGCAGGGCCGCTGTTCGAGGTGAAGAGTTCTGATGAAGCTGCCGTCTGCCAGCTCCACCTGCCACACAGTGAGACAGAGGATGGTAAAGACATCTAGGAGGCGTGTGGTGCAGTGGGTTGTGAGTTGGTATTCGGATCAGGAGGTCACAGGTTCAAACCCCACTGCAGTCAGCATGTCGTTGTGTCCCTGGGCAAGACACTTCACCCCAAATTGCTCCTGTGGGGATTGCCCACAGTATTGAGTATGTAAGTCGCTTTGGATAAAAGCGTCTAACAAGTGACATGTAATGTAATGTAATCTAGTGTTAACAAATACACTATACAATGATTAACACTTTATACTATTCACTAGCGTTCAAGAGTTATAAAGCAGCTTTATTAAACTAGTTTAACAAATATAGCAACAGTATAATTCAGGCACCTAATCTGATTCAAAGGAAGAAGAATTCAATTATTAAAACATCCATTTAGTCGATGTGTTGCATGACATCATTATTGAAGCATACGATGCAATGCAGCTCTAAATACTGAGTTCGTTTTTCTTTGGGCCCTCTGCAGTCTCCTCACTGTAATATTAAAGAGATTTAAACTGTGATTTGTCAGTCCACAGCATGCTCAGCTGTAGACTTTCTACGCCCTAAAAGCTTTAGAAAACTCTTCACACATCTAGAGAATCACTCAGACATGAGACCGGACACAGTCAAGTTGTTCTGGCAGCAGATTACAAACATTTCAGCAGTCTGGTGAATAAAAAAGAATTAATAAAGTTTAACAGCAAATGCTCACATCCAGAAAGATCACAGGGGGCGGAACAATAATGAAACATTAGAATAAAAGGTGGAGGATATAAACTGGTACATCCTAGTGAGGCTCCAAAGTGAATGACATTAGATGAGCATTAGCTCTGAGCTAAAGTGGTGTGACATTGAATACGATGAAGCTGTTTCAGCAGCAATGCAACAGATGACCTGCTCTTTGCTCCACAGCGCTGCTCCTGGACGGCCTGTTGTCTGTCGTCCACATCACTGATGAAGGCCTGAGCATCTTGGAGCCGCTGGAGGTCACACGCACTCACGTGGTGGTGAAGGTGCCTCACCTCTCTCTCTTTGGCCTGGTCTGGGATGTCATTAAAAGGGTTCTGCTTCTGCGGATAAAGGGCAAGATTCTGGTGTTCCTAAGACCCCCGGTCAGAGAGGAGCAAATACTGGATGTACATCTGCTGCAGAAAAACGTCCCTAAGAAGGAGGTAATGTGCTCACCATCAGACTAAACACTGGTTTAAACCACAGCTGTTTCCACACACACTGCTCCTCTTCTCAAACCTTCTCGTGCTGGGAGAAGAATAAGATCTATCTGAACTGTAAATCTTCAGATCGCTCTTTGTGGTTTTGTATGATTCTCTCTCAGCATGTCTTTCTGTCTGTGGAAACTGATGGCTTTAATGTTAAACACATCACACAGACCTGAAAGACCTGCTGAGATGAATCACTGCCAAGACAACGTGATCTCATCCCTACCAGCCACATGTTACAGCTTGGGCAGCAGCCTTTTGTGTTGTATAACCGACACAGACGGTTTGTGTTTTGGTTAACGTTGGAATAACTTCTTCAATAGCTTATCTCAAAGAATTAAAATAATCTATTTGTAATATTCCTTTACAAAGGCAATAAATACTTATAATTATGTTGTGATTGATTGTGTATCTCATCACTTTGTGGAGCAGGTCTGTCAACGTTTGTTGTTGTTTAATGTGATCCTTAATAAAGTTGCCTTGACTATCTGAGCATAACTAAAGTTACTCTGTTACTGAAGGTTGCTGATCAACACAGACCTGCTGTGAACATCACAATCTCCACCGATTGTGAGCTGGAACTGTACAAAGGTTACAGTGTACACTGTGAACCTGAGGGCTTCTTCATTCAGCCTGAGGTGAGTCACTGATACTCCTCTAAAGGAACACAATGATCATTAACACACATGTATCTGCATGTGGATCCACAATCAGGAAAGAAACAGATACACGTTTAACTTCTGCTTCTGGCTTTCAGAGTAAAACATTTGAATCAAGTTTGGGACCAGATTACGATCCGACATTTCAAGTTTCCCTGACGACGAGCACAGAGAGAGTGGATTTGAGGGTCAAGGACCAAGGTGGAAACATAGTATGGAATTACCGCGTGCCACTGGAAGGTAAAGACTCCACCTGAGCTCAGACCCAGTGATAGACTGATAACTCTAAAGCTCCATCTCATAGCCTTCTCTATTAAGGCTCCATGGCAGCGCATCATTACGCATTAAACACACAACCTGTAATGTTCTATAACTATAGTAATAACTAGTGTGGTGTGGTGGTGAAACAGCGTGGCATCATGGGAGTTGTAGTCTTCAGCTTCTCATGCTTAAATGGATTACAGCATTACAGGAGACCGTGATGAACGTACTGTTACCTTTAAAATTACACATCTCTCTGAACCATTTGAGATAATCTATGAAGACAACTCAACCAAGTATAAATAATACAGGTGTAGGAGTTTTTATCTATTTGAATGAGGAAATGTTACATATTATAACTTTAACCGAACAGAAATCCACCTCTGGGATTGTCGAGTTACTTTAATTTTTAAGAGATCTGTTTAATGTGATTGTTGGTTAACAAAAGTATTTTCCCTGTTCATCTACCAGGTCCAAGACTTGCATTGTCCCAGAGAAATGTCCCAGCAGAGAGCAGAGTCTCAGCAGAGATCAGAGTCCCAGCAGACCAGAGGCTGTTCTCAGTTCGGACAGAGTTCATTCAAAGAGTGTCTCCAACTGTGTTGAACGTCCTTCTGGATAAACTCTTTGATTCTGAAGTGATCAGTGAATCTGAAATGACGTCAGCCAGAACCAAATCCAAACATGACGGAGCACGAGAGGTGGTGGACACGGTGCGAAATAAAGGAGCTGCAGCCAGCAGGGTTCTGATCAATGCTCTCCGAGAGCTGGACCCGTATCTTTACAGAGAGCTCAACTTGAGCTGAGGCTAAACCTCGTGGAGTGTGTGACAGTTGAAGTCTAGTCCTCTTTTTTGTTACCTGTACATTTTTCCCCTCGTCCTTGAAGGTAACACAGATTCTGAGCGAAGGCCACTTTCCTTCTCTCTTTTCTCCTGGACTCCCTCCTGAGAGCAGCTACCCGTATTGGCCTTCCTTTGGTGTATGTATGTATATATATATATATATATATATATATATATATATATATATATTAGGGCTGTCAGTCGATTAAAATAGTTAATCGCAAATTAATCGCACATTTTGTATCTGTTCTAAATGTACCTTAGAGGAATATTTGTCAAGTTTTTAATACTCTTATCACCATATGAGTGGACAAATATTTTGTATGCAAATGTTTGTTTATTATCATTGGAATAATGACAAATATTCTCCTGAATTATCTCAACAGAACAAACTGGAACCTCTCTCTCTCTCTTCACTCTCTCCCAACCCTGTCTACTTCTTTGCACTGAGCCAGTTTATGGAGCCAGAATTGGGTCAATATTTTAGCGCGCGAGTGAAAAATGTGCTTTTACACGAACATAAAATGACCATGGCGCTCACATTAAACCCCCGCGAGTATGGAAAGCCCAATATGCCACTATTCCGCCCATTTTTTTAAAAAACGGGCGTTTTTCTCGCCTAAAAAACGGGCGTTTTCTAATATGATAATGAGCCGCACCATCTGTTTTGCATAGCCAGTACATTTAAAGTGTGTGCAACCAATCAGTGAAGCCAGACTAAAACAATCTGTTGATGAAAACTTCCTGTAACCTACCCCATTGTGAGATTTATATAGATAGATAGATAGATACATACAGTGGCGTTTCTATATGTGCAAAAGTGGTGGGGCACAAAAAACGTAGATGTCTATAAGCTTCTGCAGTGAGGTTCATGGCTGCTGAGGCACTGACTCTTCAGGTTTACAAATATTATATTTTGACCTAAATCAAAATATAATATTATTTTCAAAAGCTTTTTTTGTCTGATGCTTCAATTAATTTTAAACAGACAGTTCAACAGAAGGATACCCACAAAATGTAATGTTCTCATTTAAATATTGAATTGTTCTCTCTTAGTAAGATCCCATGTTCAATAAAATGGTGGTCTTACCTTGACTTGAAGATGAAGTCCATTTGCCTATCCTTCTGGACAAAAATCTCTATTACTTTTTTGTAAAAGTCCTCCTTATCGTCTTGTAGTTTCAGAAGTCTATCATAAATCTAATCTAATCGATAGATTTATGATTCGAAAAGCTTTTTTGTGGAGGGAAGCCATGCGCAGCTTACTTCCGGGTTTTAGAACGCGTCTCTCTCCTCCTCTTCACACACCATACTTTTCGCGGCACACGTACTTACAGCCAATCAGCTCTGAATTATGTGAGATGACGTATGGTGGGGATGGCAGCACAATGCCCCTATGGTCATTATTTTTTGCCACACACATTAAATAGGAAAATACTCTGAGCATGCGCAGTGTAGTTTTTACAGTCACCGTTCACTTAGACAGTGAGAGGGAGGGGCAGGATCGGGTTTTGTTCCACATGGCTCTAAACAGCTCAATAGGCACACACTGTAGACACTAATTAGAAGAACACAGACTAAAACAGCAATGTACAGACGAATCAGATGATTAACCATGATCTTAAAATATATTTTATATATATTTTAATTTATTTTTTGCATTTTTTCTTAATCATTTTTTTTAATACTTTCTGCTGACACTAGGTGGGGCTGTGCCACCTGCCCCTAATGACCAGTCGCCACTGGATAGATATAAAGAATAATCATAATAATCAGATCTAAATTAAACATTTACAGTAAATAATATAAAGTATAAACATTTCTACAGTCACAACTTCATTATTGTTATTCATACTTTCTGTTATGTAATTTATTCATGTTCCTGTGCTTTCCGTTTCCATCCAGTAATATAATCACAATGCTATTTTGAAGGTGTGTTCAAAACAATCTATGTAATGCAACTTGCTGTACGTACTGCTACACCTACTATTGGGGAATCTGATGTATGTTGTAATGTTTGTGCCGGAGCCGCTTCATCCAAAACAGTACTCCGGTTAGAGAGATGACACCTGATGGGAAATACAGTCTCAATTGCTACACAGTGTGAATATGAGAGGGGGGGAAATGTGTAATAAATGCTTTTTAGACAATAAGAAATATAAAGTTAACTCAACTAAAGTTGCTCAGTATTTTTTTATTGTCAATACTATTACTGCATAACTAATATCTCACTTCTGAAGGTTTAAAGAAAAGGCACCTTAAAATAAAGATTGGTCTTCCAATACATTTAATTGATTTTGTCTTTTGAATTGTTTATCTAAAATCAAGTAGCTATAACCCGTACGTATCGTTTTAAGATACAGTCTGGTTATAATGCTGTTTGAAGGAGGCACACAGGTAAGAGCACTAACTAGCTAATGTATCTTAGCTTGAATTAAATGTATCTTAGATTGAATTAAATGTATTTAGCATATAATTAAGTGACTGCAAAAGACAAATAACTAATGTATATATATTACATATACTGATTTATATATACAGTCCATGGTAAAAACCCATATATACATATATAGGAGCCAAGTGCAGTACAGAGACAGGGAGGCAGATATCCAGGTCCAAACAAAAAGCGAGCTTTATTCTAACAGCAGGCGAGGTAGTAGGACAAAAGTAAAATTAACTAACACTGACAAGGGGACACAAGGAACAGGAGCAGAGGCACCTGCAGCCTTGGCTGCTGTGCTCTCAGTGTTTTGTCTCCCTGTTCCTGCCTGTTGGCATCAGCTGATAGAGGTGTTATTGTGCTTTATCTTGTTATGCACAATGTTGATTATTCTCTCAGAACTATCTAAACACATGGGTCTGCGGTAGAGATCTTCAGCACATTTCTTGTGAATTATCTGGCCGACGCACCAAATAAACCATCAGTGTTGCCATCAAAGTTCCTCTCCCGTGTCTCTCAGAGTCTCCATTGATCCAGAAGTTTCCATCACACTTTTCAAATACCTATTTTAAATTTGAATTAATCATTGTACTTTTCAAAGTGCAGTATCAAAACCTCAGACCCAGAGTTTGATTGATTGATTGAAAAGTTTATTAACAGCTTGTATATTGGGTACAGTACAGTACAGCTCAAAACATACAATTGTTAAGGGGATGCAGACCAGAGAAAGACTTTCGTCTTGTTTACATCAGGGTCCCCCATTTCCAATTCATCATGTCATTTAAGACATATAAGACATATTTGACATACAGATGGCTTATTTACAATTTACATACAGGTGGTTTTTTACATACAGATTGCTTGTTTACAATTTTCATAGTTAGCTCCATATGTGTTCTGTTTATGGACATTTGATTAGCTCAAATTGATCTGTTATTAGCATGACATAGGCTACCTTTGCACAAGGCTTTCTCCGTCCTGTTGAGGATTTTGACGTTCTTCAGAATGGTCCAAAATGTGGTCCAAGTTCTAGTTCATCCTTTGTTGCAGTTCTAAAAGTCTTCTCCGCATTCTGCCTTCGATTCAGAATGTTCTGGTAGAGTGGTCAGTAACTAAGCTGTGCGTCGGTACAGTTATAGCCAATTATTATATTATACTCAGTGGCGGCTGGCCCATAGAAGGCGATAAGGCGCAGCCCTCCCATATATATATTATATAATATATGTATATATATATATATATATATAATATATAGATATATATATATATATATATATATATATATATATATATATATATATATATATATATATATATATATATATATATATATATATGGGAGGGCTTTTTTTAGCTTTTAAATGATTTATTTTATCATTAATATGGTTCCTTAACAGTTAACACAATACACATAGTCTGGAGCTCACTGGGGTCCTGCATATGCTTTAATCAGGCGTTTTGACACTTTTTTCCACGAAAATGATTTTTAATCACTATCATGGGGCTATATAAAACAAATTCCAGGTAATGCGGGGCACAATTGTACCTTTTACTATTTCAATGTATTTGTATTATATATTTTTGGGCAAGCAAAGTGACATTTCTGGGTGATTTTGTCAGTTTATGGAGCTTAGCCCACAAATCCTGGAGGTTCCAGGCCGAATTTGGGAGCTCATAGGCGGCCTGCCATGCGCCCCCACCCGTGGAAAGAAGAAAAAAGTGAAGAAAACGGTTAATTACATCATAAAATAATCAAAGATGAAGTTTTAAAATGTTTTCGAAAAAACACTAAGTGTCAGACGGAAAATATTCATCCATCAATTTCAGACTACCGTCTGCACGATTTCGGAAACCCGGTTTTTGGGTGCTCTCAGAAAAAAAACGGCTGTCTGATATCCTGGATGAATGTATCCGCCCCAAGTAAAATATGCGGTTAAGGCGACCTCTGATGCTGCCCCAGAACTTCTCGTTGGACATTTTTCTTTTTCCATTTTTTTCTTCCTGGTCGTAGTGACGTAGCTGCTCTGAGGATTTCCGCATTGTGTGCTCAGGCTGAGCTCCGCGGTGTCTCGCTGTCTCGCAGACCCCACGCAGCAACCAGGAAACGACACCAGTAATCCAGCTCACCCTGTCTGCTCCTCGAGCCTCAAAGGGCGGAGCAGCGAGCCCCGCAACGTCCCGCCCACACGGCACCCAGACCCCACGCAGCATTCTCGTCCGTTTGTCATTACTGGTGTCATTTTCTGGTTGCGAACGCCATTGTAAAACATAATCACTGATGTTCAGCTGTAACGGTGGTGGACTCATCAGAACAGAGTGGGCGAGCTGACCAATCAGAGCACACTGGGCTCACAGGGAGGGGGAGGGCTGGAGCTCCAACAAGCCGTTTAGGACAGAGTGGATACACATACTATACAGAGATGCTGTATGAGAAACCAATGAGAGTTTGGAACATTGAACAATGTAAATCTATTCTAGTAGACCTCAACAATGGAACTATGATCAGTAGAAATGGCCATGACATGGGACCTTTAATGTTGTGTTTTATACGTGTTGTTTTTATGAATTTTTACTTTGAAAAGTGTCTTTGAGTTTCAAGAAAAGCGCTCAATAAAAAAATGCATTAATATTATCAGATGTTCTGTTGGTTTGTTTAAGTTGTTTTGCATTTTAGTAAACACATTTGAAAAAAAGCTAAGCAACTATATTCCCTTGACTTTAGACTACATGTTATCCATTTTTGTTAAATCATAGGGATGAGAAAACTCCTCAGATTCAGAAAATGCACTGATTATTTTGAGAAAGTGAAAATGTTGTGATGAGAAAAAGTGAGAATTTTGAGAAAGTGAGAATTTTGTGATTTTGAGAAAAAGTGAGAATGTTGTGATTTTGAGAAAAAGTGAGAATTTTGAGGAAAAAGTGAGAATTGAGAACATTTCAGATTTTCAGAGAAAAGCCAACATTTTGAGAAAAAGTGAGGATTTTGAGAAAAAAGTCCACATTATGAGAAAAAAACGTACATAAAACAAAGTGATAATATACAACAGAAGTGATCGTAGAGTTTAGGATTCAAGGGTCTTAATAAAAAGCAAAGGGAGACATTTTTATTCTTTTATTGGCAACAATCTTTATTATCTCTTCCAGTTTTTTTATTTTATTACAAAACACTCACTCCAACCATCCAACACAAGATGAAAGGGAAAGCTAACCGTCTACACTAGCGCTTGGTCGTGTAGATCCAACACCGATCGATGTGATGCTGCCGCTCACACGATGAAGTCATCAAAAATATAAATGTGAACAGCCTTTTTTTTTATTTATATATCTGTCATTAAGCAAAGTGTCTTGAATAGTGTTTGATCGCGGCGAGGAAAAACCAGCCGTTTGAAAAAAACCAGGATAAACTTCAAAGAAATACTGAAGGAAACGGCGTCTTCTCTCGCTCTTCTACTCGCTCTATTTTATTTCCAAAAAAGACATTCAGTTGCGCAAAAAAGGGAACAAAAAAAATAAAGGAAAAAATAACTGATCGAGTGTTCGATCCGTAATACAATCTCTCCCAGTTGAAGAATATTTTTCTTGCTTTTTTTTGTGTTTCTGTTTATGAAGAAGGATTTTGCCGATTCAGGGTTTTTTCTTCTGAATCCTCCGAGCGTCTTCCTCCTCTAGCTGTTGTCGGACTCGTCTTCATCCTCGGCCTCTCGGAGCCACGTGAAGAAGGCGGTGACGGACTTTAGAGCCAGGCCTTTCCCCTGCTGCTCCACCGGGTCTTTGCTCGACTCCCACTTGTAGAAAGCTTCTTGTTTGATCACGTCCTCGTCGTAAAGGCTGTCGAAGAACATCCGCAGCAGGTCTGAAGGAGAGGGGAAACACGAGAGACGTTAATACATTGACTATTTAAACTATATTACATTACTTATTAGACACTTTTATCCAAAGCGACTTACATACTCAATACTGTGGACAATCCCCACAGGAGCACTTTGGGGTGAAGTGTCTCAGGGACATGCTGACTGCAGTGGGGTTTGAACCTGATCACAACACCAACGCACTATTCCACTGCGCCACAGCCTCCCATATTAAACCAATTATAAAGCCTAACACATACTACAACATTCAGAACAAAAAATGGAGAAGCAGCGTTCAGTTATTATGCTCCAAATATCTGGAACAAACTCCCTGCAGGTCCGCTGTAACTTTTAAAAGGAATAATTTACCTACATTTGATTGATTTCTCAAACTTATAACTGAACTTATGAGGCCATATATAGCGGCCCAGCCCTTCGAATATTTTCTGTACGTGGCCCTCGGTGAAAAAAGTTTGGACACCGCTGCTCTAAATGATGTTAAGAAGTCACTCACTGGCCGGCTGCTCCAGCTCCACCATCAGCGCCTGCAGAGCGTAGAGAGCCTGCAGCTCCTTCTTGTCGTCACTCAGGTATTTCTGCAGGACCTTCGCTCTCTTCTTGATCTTAGCGGCGTCCACCTTGTTCGGGTTCTCATCTGCAGGAAACAAAACGCCATTAACGGGACTGGCATGGAGCAGTTTATGAGGTAATTCTGACTTGATTGAATGCGTAATATCTACAGGGAACATGCGGATAACTCACAGATGATGGCTGACTGACAGATGCATGTCATCAGAGCTCTGACCAGCATGTTGGAGGACATCTGCTGCTCATCCAGGTTAGCCTGCACACAGAGACACATTCATTTACACGCATGCAGAGAACCAAGAGCCCTACAACTGGGTTAGGGATTGAAAAGCATTGAGGATTCAAACTGGATTGTTTTGAGATTTGGAGAAAAAGTGAGCATTTTTAGATTTTAAGAAAAAGTGAGAATTTTTGAGATTTTAAGAAAAAATTAGCAATTTGAGGAAAAGTGAGATTTTTTTGGAAAAAGTGAGAATTTTGTGATTTTGAGAAAAAGTGAGGATTTTGAGATTTTTTGAAAATAGCCAACATTTTGAGAAAAAAACTCAGTATTTTGTACATGGCAGGAAGTGTGATTACCTAGAAGAGCATCAGGACTGTTTGAGGCAGATGATAGCTATGTGATTAACATGATGATTCAGCCTCTATGGAGAGAGACATGTGACAAGCATGCTCATTTCTGACGTAGAGCTAATCTGAAGTAAACATTGAATACTGCTTTCTATTCCTCCATCTTGTGACTGTGTAACTCCCTCTCTTGGATATCAGCATGTGAAGGACACTGTTCAGGAACTAGTTGATGCTCTGTATGTGATGACTACTTCCATTCTGGAGAGGATCACAGATACATGGATCCTGAGGTTGAAGCTCAAGCCGGGTACGAGGGATAGCAAACAGAAAAGCAGATGTTAGTAAAGATTCGCCCTTACCTCGATCCAGTCAAACAGCCTCTGGTCGTCGGCCTGATCCTGGATCAGCCTCTGAATCTGTTTGCTCAGCTCCTCAGAGCTCAGCTCCTCCTTCTGACCGTTCTCAGACTCCACACCCAGCGTGAACTCCACCTTCTGCACAACACAAACACGCTTTATTATAATAATAACAACAATACATTCATTACATTTGTATTAGAGCGCTTTTCAAGGCACTCAAAGCGCTTTACAATTACACATATTAGACATGTAACAGTTATTACTGTGGACAATACCCAAATGTATCATCTGTATTTTGTTTTATTATTTTAGACGGTGCACATTGATGGACATTTCTGTTCATGTAGTAGTAGTATTATTTTTTACTTTTTAAAAAAAATTTGAATTCCTGTAGTATTTTTTGACTTTTTACATTAATTATATAGAATATTTTGTATTGTTTTGTTTATATTTGATATGTTTTTAATTTTCTCATTTTATTTGTAATTGTTAATTCTCTGTTCCACTTTTTTTTAAGTATTATTTTATAAAGTCTGAACACTGGGATCAATAAAGTATCTATCGATTCATCTATCTATCCATCCCTCTATCCATCTATCCCTCTATCTATCTATCTATCCATCCCTCTATCCCTCTATCCATCCATCCATCTATCCATCCATCTATCCCTCTATCTATCTATCTATCTATCTATCCATCCCTCTATCCCTCTATCCATCTATCTATCTATCTATCCATCCATCTATCTATCCATCTATCCATCCATCCATCTATTACATTACATTACATTACATTGCATTTAGCTGACGCTTTTATCCAAAGCGACTTACAATAAGTACATTCGACCAGGAAGACACAACCTTGAAGAAAACAGAATCATATAAGTACATCAGGTTTCATAGAGCCAAACATTTCAAGTGCTACTCAACTGGCTTTAGGTAAGCCAGTCCTTTAGTAGTATAAAATTGCTTCGTTAATAGTTCTAACGCTCGAAGTGGAGTCGAAAGAGATGAGTTTTCAGTTTGCGCCGGAAGATGTGCAAGCTATCTGCTGTCCTGATGTCAATGGGGAGCTCATTCCACCATCTTGGAGCCAGGACAGCAAACCCACGTGTTTTCGCCGATGGGAACTTGGGTCCCCCTCGCAGCGAGGGCGCAACGAGTCGTTTGGCTGATGCAGAGCGTAGTGCACGCGCTGGGGTGTACGGTTTAACCATGTCCTGGATGTAGGAAGGGCCAGATCCATTCGCAGCATGGTAAGCAAGTACCAGTGTCTTGAAGTGGATTCTAGCAGTTACCGGAAGCCAGTGAAGGGAGCGGAGGAGCGGAGTGGTGTGGGAGAATTTAGGAAGGTTGAAGACCAGACGAGCCGCTGCATTCTGGATGAGCTGCAGAGGTCGGATGGCACATGCAGGTAGACCAGCCAGGAGGGAGTTGCAGTAGTCTAGGCGTGAGATGACGAGAGCCTGGACCAGAACCTGAGTCGCTTTCTGAGTCAGCTGGGGACGTATCTTCCTGATGTTGTAAAGCGTGTATCTGCAGCAACGGGTTGTAGCAGCGATGTTTGCAGTGAAGGACAGGTTGTTATCTAGGGTCAAACCCAGATTCCTTGCAGTCTGAGTCGGGGAAACAACTGAGGTGCCGATGTTGATTGTCAGGTCAAGAGTTGGACAATCTTTTCCCGGGAGGAAGAGCAGCTCAGTCTTGTCAAGGTTGAGCTTGAGGTGGTGAGCAGACATCCACTGAGAGATGTCAGCTAGACAAGCAGAGATGCGTGCGACGACCTGGGTCTCTGAGCGGGAGAAAGGACAGAATTAATTGGGTGTCGTCAGCGTAGCAGTGGTAAGAAAAACCATGCGGGCTAATGGACTGATCCGAGCGAGTTTGTGTACAGGGAGAAGAGGAGGGGACCAAGACAGAGCCCTGAGGGACCCCCGTAGTTAATTGACAAGGGTCGGACTCAGACCCTCTCCAAGTCACCCTGTAGGTACGGTCTTTCAGGTATGAGGTGAGGAGGGAAAGTGCAGAGCCTGAAACTCCAAGTTTTTGGAGAGTGCGAAGGAGGATCTGATGATTCACCGTGTCGAATGCAGCAGACAGGTCCAACAGGATGATGACAGAGGAGAGGGATGCAGTTTTGGCAGTGTGCAGTTCCTCCGTGACAGCAATGAGAGCAGTTTCTGTGGAGTGACCTGCCTTGAAACCAGACTGGTGCGGATCCAGAAGGTTGTTCTGATTGAGATAACAGGAGAGTTGTTTAAAGACAGCGCGTTCAAGTGATTTAGACAGGAACGGGAGGAGAGAGACAGGCCTGTAGTTTATAACATCAGACGGGTTGAGAGTGGGTTTCTTTTGGAGAGGGTTTACTCTTGCCTCCTTGAGACTGTTTGGAAAGTGACCAGAAGTTAGAGAAGTGTTGATGAAATGGTTGAGGAACGGTAGAATATCAGGAGCGATAGTCTGAAGGAGGTTTTGAAGGGATAGGGTCCAGAGGACAGGTGGTAGGGCGGGCAGAGTAATGAGGGTAAGAACCTCACTTGGAGAGAGGGGAAAAGGGAGGTTAGTGTGTTGGTGGAAGGAGGGTCTGGTGACCCAGGGGTGAGTAAAGGTGAGTCAGAAAAAAGAAGAGCGGAATATCATCAACCTTTTTTCAAAGTGGGTAACAAAGTCGCTTGACAGAAGTGAGGAGGGGGGAGGAGCTTTTGGGGGGTCCAAGAGGGTGGAGAAGATGGAAATAGTTTTTAGGATTGGAATAGGAAGATTGGATCTTATCTTGAAAGAAAGTGCTTTTTGCCTGAGAGATCGAAGCAGAGGAGAAGAGGAGAGGAGAGCTTGATAGGTTAGGAGGTCGTCACGGTGTTTGGATTTCCCACCATTTCCGCTCTGCTGCCCTAAGGACGGTTCTATTAGCACGCAGTGCATCATTTAGCCAGGGACGCAGGAGGGGACTGACGAGCCTGCCGAGATGTGAGAGGACAGAGCGAGTCCAGAGTGGATGAGAGAGTAGAGAGGAGAGTTTCTGCAGCAGAGTTTGGAGGCAGTAGTTGGAACGAATCAGAGGAAGGCAGGGCTGAGAGCACCGACGAGGCAAAGGTAGAGGGGGAGAGGGAGCGAAGGTTACGGCGGACAAGTGTAGGATGGGAAGAGATTAGTTTGTTATGTTTGGAAAGGGATAGAGAGAATGAAATGAAGAAGTGATCGGATGTGTGGAGCGGGTTTACAGAGAGGTTAGAAGTAGCGCAGTTCCTTGAGAATATGAGATCAAGGACATTGCCAGCTTTATGAGTCGGTGGGGACGGAGACAGTGAGAAAGCAAAGGCGGTTAACAGAGATGTTAGTTCGTCTATCTTCCCCATCTGGAGGTTGAAGTCTCAGAGAAGTACAGCGGGAGGGCCAGTTTCAGGGATGTGTGAGAGGAGATGATCTAATTCCTCCAAGAAGTCCCCCAAGGCGCCTGGTGGACGGTAGAGAACAACAATGGTTAACTGTATAGGATGGGTTACTGTGACGGCATGGAACTCAAAGGTGGAAGGAGTGAAGTTAGGTAGCTTGAAGAGGGAAAAGCTCCATTTGGGAGAGAGCAGGAGACCAGTGCCACCTCCTCTGCCAGTGGGTCTGGGTGTATGGGAGAAGGAATATGCAGTGGAGAGAGCTGCTGGGGTGGATGTGTTGGATGGAGTAATCCAGGTCTCAGTGAGAGCAAGGAAATCCAGAGACTGCAGGGAGGCGTAGCCAGAGATGAAGTCAGCCTTGGGAACAGCTGACTGGCAGTTCCACAGGCCACCTGAAACTAGATGTTGGATCTCAGTGGAGCACGTGGGATAGACGAGAGCAGGCCGGTTATATCGATTACGAGATACACGGGGCCAGTGATAATTGCGAGAAGACACATGAACAGGAATGGAGAAAATACACATGATTATAGCATGAGGGGCTAAACAACAAAATGAAAAAATAAAAACACCAACGATACTTAGCTCAATCAAAGTAGGATTTGCCTCCTCTTTGCCTCCCTCGTGACTCCCGTAGGACTCTAATGTCTTTGTCAGTCTTAGCCTGTCTGACGCTGACGCTCCAGGAAAGTGATACCTAAAATGGACGCCTGATTGCTCAGTTCTCACAGCTGTAGGGGCACGCCCCTCTAATTAGTTAACTATCTACAGCTGATGGGCGACAATAGACTGGCCCTGCCTATATTAATAATGCAGGCTTGAGTGCTGAGACCTGTAAAGCAGGTTTCGCCATCCATCCATCCATCTATCCATCCATCCATCCATCCATCCATCCATCTATCTATCTATCCATCCATCCATCTATCTATCCATCCATCCATCCATCTATCTATCCATCTATCTATCTATCCATCCATCCATCCATCCATCCATCCATCCATCTATATATCTATCCATCTATCCATCCATCCATCCATCCATCCATCCATCTATCCATCCATCTATCTATCTATCTATCCATCCATCCATCTATCCATCCATTCATCTATCCATCCATCCATCTGTCCATCCATCTATCTATCCATCCATCTATCTATCCATCTATCTGTCCATCTATCCATCTATCTGTCCATCTATCCATCTATCCATCTATCCATCTATCCATCTATCATCTATCTATCCATCTGTCCATCCATCTATCCATCTATCTAGTATCTATCTGTCCATCCATCTATCTATCCATCTATCCATCTATCTATCCATCTATCCATCAATCTATCTATCCATCCATCCATCTATCCATCCATCCATCCATCCATCCATCTATATATCTATCTATCCATCCATCCATCTATCCATCCATCTGTCCATCCATCTATCTAGTATCTATCTGTCCATCCATCTATCTATCCATCAATCTATCTATCTATCCATCCATCCATCTATCCATCCATCTGTCCATCCATCTATCTAGTATCTATCTGTCCATCCATCCATCTATCCATCTATCTGTCCATCTATCCATCTATCCATCCATCTATCCATCTATCTATCCTGTCCATCCATCTATCCATCTATCCATCTATCTATCACACCAGAGTGAGCTAAGAGGCTATTTTTCATCTGTATTCTGTGAACAGATATTGTAAAGTCGCCCTTAAAACACATTACACTTAACACAATCAGTAAACACATGCAACACAGAGGCCTATAATAGTGGAAATAATAAATAAAACATACAGATAACATAGCAAAAAAACAGCCACAGGTTAAAGCAGTACAAAGACAGAACATGTGACTCGTTCTCTAGCTGTTCTTTATATATTACCTCTACTCGACACACTGTATTTTAATTATTCAAGTAAAGGGAATCATTATTTACGTTGATTATTCATTTATTGATCTGCATATCTTGAGTCTGAAAGCTACACTGCAGGTCTTCATTATAAGGTGTGATTAACAACTGTATTTATTAGGGCTGTCAAGTTAACGCGTTAATAACGCAAAACATTTTGTAACGCCACTAATTTTTTTAACGCGATTAACGCATGTGTATTTTTTGTCCTCGGCCGCCCCGTAGTTTCAGAGCGCATCGAGTTTAAAATACCATCTACAAGCTGATGCTGACAGCCCCGCTCCTGCCGCCCGCTTGTGGCAGACCAGACTTCCACGCTCACCGGCAGGCACCGACTGGCTGTTGGGAGGACCGGGAGGGTGTGTGTATGTGTGGCCCGAGCGAGAGAGAGACCTTACGTGCATTGTTGTTGTTAGCATCTGGTGCTAGCTAGCTGCGCTAACGAATATGGAGCTGTTTAAATGAAAACAGAGGAGCGACATTTCGCCACAACTGCGCCGAGCACTTGACTTTATGCAGGAAGCCAGACAGTGGGACATTGTACGAAAAGTCAGCACACTCAGCACGGATAGTGCAACATGATTGCAGCGTCCAGGCAGCTCCCGTTCGAGCATATGCCTTGAGTTGCACATAGCTCCAACGATCCATCACACACACACACACACACACACACACACACACACACACACACACACACACACACACACACACACACACACACACACACACACACACACAATTTGTATTGTATTATTGTATGAGAGGTTCCAGGTTGTTGTGTTTAATATTCATGAGAATATTTGTCATTGTTCAAATGATAATAAACATTAGCATAAAGCATATTTGTCCACTCATATGTTGATAAGAGTATTAAAAAACTTGGAAAATATTCCTCTATGGAACATTTAGAACAGATAAAAAATGTGCGATTAATTTGCGATTAACTATTTTAATCGACTGACAGCCCTAGTATTTATATGTTAGTAAATATCCTCACCTTCTCAGTCACAAACTTGTTGACGTCGACGTCCTCGGGGAGGAAGTCTCTCCACCGGAGACCGCCCTCTCGCCACATCGCTCCTGCCTTTTTATGGCTCTAAAGAAGAAAATATTGTTTAAAAAAAGGTTGTAGACTCTTTCCCTTCTGATGTGCAGTCACCATATCAACTGAGTCAGATACACAACATTTTCTCAGTGTAATTTTTTTTCAGAAGAATAAAAACATTCAACGAAACGATAAAATGAATTGAAGTGGGACATCCCCAAATATATATATCCAAAGCTTTAGTATAGCGACCCAGAAACAGAAAATATATTATACTAACATTTATAAAACGGACAAGTCAAATCAAGCAATCTGATTGGTTCTTAGCCGTGATAAAATGAGCGTATATCACGGTGTAGAATTGTAGTTACTTTTCACAAGTCAGTATCCCTCCGCGTCTGAGAAAAAGCTACAACCGTTACTGTACATTACGTCCGTTACGAAACTAACTAACTAACTAACAAAGCTCAAGATGGAAACATGTAAGGGATAATGTGCAGCAAGGACTTATTGACCGTTGTTAAGGTCGCTCACATCTGCAGAAAGAAGTCCGGTCGATTTAACTGTACAGTTGGGCTGAAAAGCAAACTGGGACAAGAAAACAGCGGAGAAGTAACGGGGCAGAAACCCTCCTTTTTACGCAACGGTCCAGACATAGACATCAAACAGCAAAAAACATTCAGTTATCAGTTCCTTTGGCATTAGGGCAGGGATATCTAGATACTTTCCAAGGTTTGACCTAATGAATTGTGCTACTTTTAAAGCAAGCAACGATGTTTTCAAATCTGAAAAAAAAAAGGTCTGCTAAAAAGGCTATCTAAGCAGTTCCTACCGTTGCTAGGTAGTTGAAACAATAACAACGGACTATTTTTGATCTGCCTGTCGGGTGTTTTTTACCCATAATGACCGCCTCGCAGCACATTATCCCTTACTTAACTTCGACCTCCGGGGTGGCCTTACTATGGAGGAGTGGATTGAGCAGTGCCTATCTCCAGAAAAAAAAGAACATAAACGACGACATGCAGAGCTACGTGAAGAGCAGGTAGACCAACTGGAGAAGTACCACCATTCAAAAGCTTTCTGACCGTTAGTGGCCACAGGTGCGAAAGCTCTCTCCAGAGCTACTGGAAGCCAAATCTCGGGGACCGGAGAAAGTGGAGCAATATTCTGACCACGCCAAGCAACAGCCTAGAACAACCTCAACCTACAAGTAACCACGTAAGCCATGCTACTGATGCTGGACAGGTTTTCAGTGGCTGCACAATAAACGGCTACAGACACATTAATGTAAATAAATAGCCAAATAATGGATCAACGCTCTCTGTCTAATATGTTCGCTAGCTGTTAGTGTTGTTGCATAGCAACCACCTCGCACTATGTTTTGCTTCGCGTCGGGCCGAACCACGCCCCTTAGTTGTGATATAATGACCATATACCACGGCCTGTCGTGAGCTATTGCTTAAGTATACAACTGGAGAGAGTTCATGTGTTAGACCAGTGGTTCTCAAAGTGGGGGGCGCGCCTCCCTGGGGGGCGCAGAGGCATGCCAGGGGGGCGCGAGAGACAAGGAGGAAAAATGGTTGTAAAAAAATTTAAATAAATAATCATAATTTGAAAAATTCTTGATTCGAAATAATATAACGCAGTACAGTACTATTACGTCTGGGTCTCTGTGTTTCATTAAAGCTCGACTGTGTGGTGGTGTGTGTGTGTGTGTGTGTGTGTGTGTGTGTGTGGTGTGTGTGTGGTGTGTGTGTGGTGTGGTGTTGTGGTGGTGTTGTGTGTGTGTGGTGTGTGTGTGTGTGTGTGTGTGGATGTGTGTGTGTGTGTGTGTGTGTGTGTGTGTGTGTGTGTGTGTGTGTGTGTGTTGTGGTGTGTGTGTGTGTGTGTGGAGTGAACGAGCCATTTTGTGTGCACGAGCGAGAGAGAGCGCACCGGTACTGGAGATTGTTGTTGTTAGCTTCTGGTGCTAGCGAGCTACGCTAACAGATATAAGGAGTTTTTTCAACAACAAAGTGGAGGAGAGTCCTCTCCTGTCAGACTGAGAGACTCAGTGAGCTAAAGTACTCTCAGTGTTATCTCAGTGGGTCTCAAACGTTTTGGTCACCATTAATGTAAACAGCTATTTCCGAGGCACACGTTTATATGATCATTATAGTTATACAAAAATAAGAGAATAAATGAAAAAACAGGTATGAAATACTATATGACAGTAAAAAAAAGAATAAAGTTTAAAAGGATGATTTGTAAAATATCCATAAAGAAAAAGTAAATCTGTTTACAGTTCTGTTTCATATGGGTGTTGAGAGAGGTATCCATAGATCTCTTCATGTTGCTCTCAAAGTGCACCAGATTGATGCTTTTAACTTCAATATTTAAAAATAAATCTTCCCGGGGGAGCTTGCCCTCGGACCCCCCTATGTGAGGTCCACACACGACCTACAAAAATAGCACTTTACCCCTGCTTACACCTATATGCCGTGAGCTGATTATCGAGCCTTCATTGTAACTGTCACACTGTGTATATGCGTGGGGAGTGTTGCAGTAGAACATTCAACTGTAGCACCCGGTACATTAATGGGAAACCCTAAATGTTTGAGCACCCTCTATGAAACGTCAAGCTACCCCACAGCACCCCTAAAAGAAATCTCTAGCGCCGCCACTGAGCCTGACTATTTGTGTTGGGGGGGCCCGACTTTTTTTTTTCTCCAAAGGGGGGGCCTGACAGAAAAAGTTTGAGAACCACTGTGTTAGACAGACACATTAACAACCTTAAAGAACATCAAATGGTCCCAAAACAGTTATTTTTCTCATATATGAACAAAGGGGGAAATTATGGGTGAAATTCCCCCAAATTAAACTGATATTTTGCTCAGAGAAAAAGTGCGAATTTTGTGATTTTGAGAAAGTGAGAATTTTGAGAAAAAGTCAACATTTTTAGATTTTGAGAAAAAGTGCCAATTTTTGGATTTTGAGAAAAAGTGAGCATTTTGTGATTTGAGAACTGTTCAAATGCTAAGATTTAATGAGAATATGAAGGTTCCCACACATTTCCATGGCACAAAACCTTTCCATGACTTTTTACATGACCTATAATAACATTTATTATAAAACGATTGGTCGACTAACACTTATTTAACGTCTACAAGACTTTAAGTCGTGCTTTTGTGTCAATCTTTGAGGACAAACTCAGTTTTACAGATCCATAAATGGTAGAAATGAAATGTGCTTTGAAGTAAAATAACTTCAGCCATTTCTTAGTATTAAAGTATAGATAATTGACTATAACTAAGAGTTTCTCACCATTTCTTTGCACAGTAAGTTGAGGATTTGCACCAGCAGGACTCCGGCTTGGCCCAGAGGAATCAAAGGTTTGGAAATCTCCCTGGAGGAACAAAGGTCAAACACAGGTTAACATCAAGTAGCCAGAAAGGGATGTTCTCCTGCAGATTTGTCCCATGTGAGGAGGGGGCTTCTAACCTGAAAAGCTCCCCCATGGGGATGCCTCCCTCGTGTAGCATGGGGGAGATCAGCTCTGCCAGGTACAGCCAGATGTGAGGGATGTCGATGGCCATGTCTTCAGCCACCTCCAGGATCTCCTGCAGCCTGAGGACACACAGCGAGGACACATTTAAGCGTTTATTTATAGGATGAAGCACAAATTTAAACGCACTCAAACAATGAGAAGACTAAGCATAAAGGCATCACATAAGTTTAAGGTAAGAATAAAAAGAGAGAAATTAGACATTTTGAGAGTAATTAAGTAGCTTAAACCATCATTTACCCTACTGGCTTCTGCTCATTTTAAATCCTGACGTTCTAAACATTACTTTTATTTTATCAATCTCCTGCCGCCTGAGGTCACACAGCGAGGACACATCTAAACGTTTATTTATAGGTGAAGCACAACTTTAACCCTTAGATGCATAAGTGGGTCTTTTTTGACCCGGTGAGGTGGTTTTCTTGAAGTATCTTTGTAATTAAAATGTTTTATCATTTCATATTCCAGCTATTCCTCAAAAAACATGTTTTGGATATCATGGCATTCAAATTTTAAATGTACATTTTAAGAAATTGTAGTTTTTGTATTTCTACTCCAAGCTTCCATAAGTGGGTCAAAAATGACCCGCATGCATTTCCTATGGGATCCTTTGATTCTTATCACCCGTTGCTGTCAGGAATACATTCACTGTCGACCACACATCACAGTCTACAAGTGACACCTCTCAGGAAGATTATTTTACACAGCAAGATCTGATACCTGTCAGTATAATAATACATTATATTTGTGTAGGGCTTTTCAAGGACTCAACATCGCTTTACAATATAAGGGACGGTTAGGGTGGGGGGTATGGGACTATCAAACTTGATCAACCGACATGGATTGATGGGGAGGTGGGCTATGAGTAGACAAGAGAAGAGATGAGTTTTGAAAAGGAACTGGAATACTGTGAGGGTCTCAGAATAGCGGAGATCTTTGAATCAATTTGCTCAAAACGTTTTTTTCAAAATGTAAAAAAATTATAAATAGTGAAAGATTAAATATAAAATATTTCTAGTGTGAACCAAAATATAATACTAAATATTATACAAGTGATTTTTCTTAACCAAAATGACAAAAATGGCATAAAAACACATATTATTCTAATACGGGTCCTTTTTGACCCACTTATGGAAGAGTGTAGGGTCCAATCACTCGGGCATCTAAGGGTTAAATAAAACTAACTAAACTAGAACAAGGTTAAACACACTCAAAAGATTAAAAAAACTAAGCAAAAAGGCATCACATAAGTTTAAGGTAAGAATAAAGCAAGAGAAATTAGACTTTTTGAGAGTAATTAATTGGCTTAAACCATCATTTCCCCTACTGGCTTCTGCTCATTTTAAATCCTGACGTTATAAACTTTATTTCAATAAAACATGCAACAGAAAGTAAGTGGTACAACTTGCTCTGATGTATTTGGTGTTTTGATTATGTGAATACACCAAGTTTTTACAACTCATGCAATCTTAAACAATCTTTTGCAATATTTAATTTTAAAAAGAAATGGGTTTTTTCTTGTGTTTTATTTTTTACTTAAATTGAAAATGCGTAACAAAACAGGTGGATTGAAACACAGCTACACCCCAGTTTCACATGTCTACTCCCTCCAGAGAGTTCAACTGAAACTAACCTCGATCCTCATCTCAAACGTTGTTGTTTTTTTGTTTTTTTTCAATTGGACAGTCATTAAAATAGATTTTTAGAGGCGTGGGAACCTTCGTGTTTTCTGTGAAGTTCTAGATACCTCACATGCCCCTTTCACACCAACGCAGTTCCCGTTCTAACTCCGTGCTAGAGCTTTTCTGGTTCGGAACCGTTTTTTCTTTTCAGCCCCCGTTTTGTTCACACCGCTTAGAACCCGACTGGTGCTGCTGCGTCATGACGTCACCGTTTACGTCGCTGATTTTCTCCCCAACTGCGTTACGGCGTTCACAACAACAACAACAATGGGGGACTGCGTCGGGTCGGTGATCGTGTTGCTTTTAATCACACGAAGCCAGATTAAATTAATTAACTACTTCTCAACCCTTGTACTTTTCTCCAGAGTGCCGTGGTTCATTGTTTATTAATGTGTTTCAGCTGCATTTACCGACCGCTGCAGTGCTGCTCGCTGTTTGGCATCACAACGCTGTTATGAAAGTTTCTCTGGTATAAAATGGGTGATGTTGGCATAGCAACCGAAGCTAAACTGAGTATCTTGACTACTTGTTGCTATCCTATTGTGGCATAAGCCGTTTTCGACAGGCACATTTTACCGGCGTATTTTCCATTATGATTCTATTTGTGATAGTCGGACATGAGTCATGACAACCTGTGCAGCCCATGTATTGATTCCATCCGATAGCTGCTATAATACAAAACAAAAAGTCTGCCTGCTCTCCACAATGATCAATAACAGCGAATGGATGGTCAAAGGTACAAATAAACAGAATCACACGAAGCCTGGTTAGTGTTGCCTGACTTTATAAAGTGTGTTTTATTTTTTTTAAGTGTGTGGTTGCGTTCTAGTCACTTTGCTCAGCACTACTGCTTGTTACATCTTGTATTTGTCGTACTCGCCTTGAACTGTTAGCTCAGGTTAATCTCGCCCCCCTCCGACGTAAGCGTGACGTATGCGGTTCTTGCTTCTAGACCGAAACATTTTTTGGTGCTTGAAACGAACTGGATTCCGGAGCTTAGAGGCGGCTCCGCTGCGGTGTGAACAGGACAAAACTATGCTTTTCAGGCTCTAACCGGCCCTGGAACCGCGTTGGTGTGAAAGCCCCATTACACACAATATCGATATATATACTCATTACTGATGTCTTTGGTGTTTTGATTTTGTCAATACACCAACTTTTACAACTCATGCTATCTTAAAAAACCTTTTTGCAATATTTCATTTATATTTCAACTCGTGTTTTTTTCAACTTAAATCTCAAACGTTGTCGTTTTGGGTTTTGAATTGAACGTTTCTTTGCTTGGAAAGTCGTTAAAATAGATGTTTAAGAGTCATGGGAACCCTCGTGTTTTCTGTGAAGTTGTAGACCCCTTTTACACACGATATACAACATTATAAATACACATTCCTCCCCCCCTCACTGACCCGTTGTAGTACTGCTGCTTGGGCAGAGTGCCGGCTTTGATGAGCTGCTGCAGCAGGAGGCCCATGCGCTCTCGGGCGATGGTGCTGCGCTCCAGCGTCGACTCCAGGCCGATTTGTACGATGAGGAAGAGAAGCTGAGTGCTGCTGATCTCATGCACACACTGCAGAGCCTCCTGCGGGACGGAGAGGACACACAGAGGGGTGTTAGGCTGATAAACTCTGCTTAGTGGCTGTCAGACGGTCATTTTAATGTTTATAACTGATCAATGACACAATCAGAATCGATACGATAATACTTTAATGTTCAGATCAAGTGTGAAATGTGACTTGCATCACAGCAGCTCCATGTGTAACATCAACAGACACATATCAAGACACAAGAAAAACAAACAACAAACATTGAACATAACAGCACAATCAGTGAGAGAAACCCTGCTCAAAGAGCCTTCAGCGAGCATTTGATCTGGATTCAGCTCTGTATTTACTGAGAGGATTGACTGGAGCACAAAAGATGCTTCAGTCTGACTTTATTCAATCTCCCATTAGATCAGCCGTGTCAAACTCAATTTCATCACGGGCCACATCAGCATTATGGTTGCACTCAAAGGGCCGGTTGTAACTTTAAGACTATATAAAAATAAATGTAATATATATAAAATAATGTATTATATTACATGATTACCTCGGCATTGGATTATTATCAGATAGGGTAATAACTTCATAATTAACTACGTCTGAAAGCAGAGGTCTAGGGCAAATAATTGCAAGTCTCTTCAGTGTGAATGTCACAAAATGATTTAAAAAGAAAAGCCAAATTCTGGAAAAGCAAAAAAAAAGAAGTGACATTTTGAAAAAAAAGTAACATTTAAAACTAGAGAATGCAATTCCTGAAGACATTTCTAGTGGGAATGCTTTATGCTGAAAAGCTGACGCTAAACTGCTATGCTGAAATGTAATGTGTAAGAAGAAAGTGAAGAATTTAGATTGAAATGATACATGAACACTGGGGGCTTGAATGTGTGATGAGAGAAGAAAGGAAAGTAAAAAGGCTTGGAAAAGCAGCAGAATATTTGAACTGCAAACTTCTGAACTAACTTGATGGTGAATGATCTGTCGCCATGGCAATGGCATTTGATGACACCCCATAATACGCTTAGATGCGTTGATGGCTGCATCGTTACCAAACCTGTGAAGTTTTGGGCTGTTTGGAGTATTTTCACTGAAGTTATGAGAAAACCGTGTTTCAAGGCGAGCATTGTGTTGCCATGGCAACGGCATTTGAAGAAATCTCAAAACTGTCCCGTAGATGTCTTCACGGCTGGACTGTTAGCACACATGTGAAGTTTGAGCACTTTTTGAACATTTTCATAGGAGTTATACATTACATTAGGAGGTTACATTACTCTCTCTCTTCTCGCTCTCTTCGGCATATGATGATGACACCCCATAATTGAGTAGAGCTGTTGAGGGCAGGACCATTAACCTTTATCTGAAGTCTGCTGCTCTGAGCATGTCAGTTGGAGTGATGACATCGTGTTCCATGACACAGGTGTTTATATTTGAACTAACGAGGCGTCCAGAGATCAAAGGTTTCCATTGTTCTGAATGAGAGATAAACCTCTTACATGTGAACGTTTTGTGGAAGAACCGTAACAGATATCTGTGAAATTTCAAAACGTGAAGCATGTCAAGGAAGTTGGAATGCTGTATCAGCATTCCCACTAAATAAAAAAGATTGAGATGCATTGTGGGACATGTAGTTTATGGGCAACGTGCTTCTGTAAAGTAGCATGTAAACGTATAATAAACATATTATATTCTTTGCAAGTTCTTATGGGGCCACAGAAAATGAAGTCGCGGGCCGGATTTGGCCCCCGGGCCTTGAGTTTGACATCCCTGCATTAGATGGTAGCAGTTCAGATTATTGGGTCTGAGAAGAAGTTGTTGGACAGCCTTATTAGGTTGTTCTAGTATGCTGACTCATAAAGTCTCTGATACCTCATTCACACCAACGCAACTCTGGTTCAAGCTCTGTGCTAGAGCTTTTCAGGTTCAGAACCGGTTCTTCGGTTTAGCTCCGGCTCTTTTCACACCGCCCAGAGTCCGAATGGTGCTGCGTCATTGCGTCATCGTTTGCGTCATGACGTAACCGTTTGCATGCCTGCTTCATAAAGCCAAACCGCGCGGAAACCCCTCACAGCTCACACCGACAACAACAACAATGGCCGATTGTGCTCCAGCTTCCTCTGTACCTCTTCGGAAGACCAGATTCCCAGTAGGTAGCTGGTCTATTCAGTGGACCACTGCTGCTTGTTAAGTTTCTCCATCGTTGTACAAACTGGATAAAACGCCGGCTTTTTGTTGTTGTTCAGGAGTTGATCCCGCCCCTGCCCCCGCCTCGACGTAAGCGTGACGTATGCGGTGCTTTTGCTCTAGACGGAACCGGATTCCGGATCTAAGAGGCTGCATCGCTGCGGTGTGAACAGGAAAACCCGGGGGTTTTCAAGCTCCAGCTCCGAACCGGCCCTGAAACACCGTTGGTGTGAATGAGGTATGACAGGGTTGACCAACAATCGCATATTTATGCTTGGAGGCATTTGGTTTAACGTACAATAAGTTATCATGTTATGAACATAAAACTGTTTAAAGTAAAATTGTAATGCAACAACAATATTGCGACTTCTATTTTTCGTACCTTCATGTCGTTGAGGTGCAGATACTCCTCGATGATGGCGGTGGATTTATCGGTCAGTTTCCTCAGCGTGGGCTTGGTGGAGGCCGGGTGGGGAGGAGGGGTGTCAGTTTTCTCTCGTGTCACTGTTCACACAGAAAGAAACACATATATGTCATGTTTTCCATGAACTAGGGCAGGGCTTCTCAAACTCCGAACCAAGGTCCGGATCCGGACCGAACTGCAAATCAATCCGGACCGAACCCTGTGTCCCATTATAAAAAAAATAATTATAATAATAAAAAAATTATTTCTGATTCTTATGTAAATTAAAGTGGACCTATCATGCTATATTGAAAACATATATTGTAGGGCCATACCTATACAAAACATGTCTGTGAAGTTTTTTGCTTAAAATACCAAACAGATCACCCATTGTAGCCACGCCTCATACTGCTCAAACACCTCTTTTGCAGCCCTGTTAGAGAAACGCGGATCTTGGGTCCTTAGCTTGAAAAAAAAAAAAAGACGAGGCGGAGCTAATGCCTGATCAGAATTCTACCGGAGATAAAGTTAAATTCTGCTGTGATAAAATGCCATCCTGTTCTAAACCACATCAAGGATTATTTCTGAAATAGTATGAAGCTCAAATGCTTTTTCTCTTGCGGGTTTATCACAAGGTGAGTTCCTTTTTTTATTTCCTGCTTTTTAAACACATGCTCTCTCCAGTACAGGTTAGCTCTGAGTGTTAGCGAGGCTTGCTAATGTAAACACAGACGAGATTGTTTCTGATAGCAACTTTCTGTGGGTCCGCCATCCGAAATTACGTCATATCGCCTCCAAATCTGTATCCGCTCGTTGTTCCCCCATTTTTAAAGATTTGGGTACGGAGGAAAAGAGAGAGGGTTTTATTTTCTGACGCTGCGTGAGTTCCCCGACGCACCGGGGACACCTCTTTATGTATAGAAGACATCACAAAGTGCATTTTGCATGATAGGTCCCCTTTAATGTATATTTTCTTGTGTCTGACGCGTTGTGAGAATGAACGTGCATATATATTTACTTGTGTGCGCAAGCGTGACACGCATTGCAGTTAACCGCAAGTTTACCTTGACTTTCTAATGCTTCTAATGCCATTTTTGCCGAGGTTCAAGGCATTGGCTACAGACAAACAGTGCCATTTCTCCCACTAGTTCAAGCCATCATACTGTATGTATGTATTGAGTGTGTGTGTGTGTGTGGTGTGTGTGTGTGTGTGTGTGTGTGTGTGTGTGTGTGTGTGTGTGTGTGTGTGTGTGTGTGTGTGTGTGTGTGTGTGTGTGTGTGTGTGTGTGTGTGTGTGTGTGTGTGTGTGTGTGTGTGTGTGTGTGTGTGTGTGTACAGGGGCGCCGTTTACCGACAGGCAAGTGCTTGGACCAGAAGGGGGTCCCCAAATAAAGTAGATTAATCCAATCCAACTTTATTTATATAGCACTTTAAAACCTCCAGACCAAAGTGCTGTACAGAGAGATACATAAAATATAAAATCACACAACTCAGCTCACAAAACATAAAATAAATAAATACTTTTAAAATAAATGATACAAACACAAAACAAACCAGAATAAACATAACAATTTCAAAAAATTAATTAAAAAAACATAAAAAAGGATTAAGAAGCTCCACAGCAACGACAAAATGAAACACCCTTTAATTTACTGCAACGACATGTCGGGAAACCCCCTCAAGGGGGCCCCATGCATAGGGCGCCGAAACTGCTTCTTAATTTCAGTTTCGTTGCTCCGCTACGGGGGGGGGGCATTGATCTGGACCATTGACCTTGTATACAATTCACAAGTGGACCTTTAACAAAAAGGTTTGAGTACCCCTGAACTAGGGAAACCCAGAAAATTGCAGTTTAAACATAGGTTTGACGAAACAAAAACTAAATTGAAAGTATATTTATTTTTTAAATCTGATTAAACGTTTTGTATAGGTAAAGTGTGTCAAAAATAATAATAATAATAATAATATAATAAATGCGTGCACTACGCTCTGCATCAGCCAAACGACTCGTTGCGCCCTCGCTGCGAGGGGGACCCAAGTTCCCATCGGCGAAAACACGTGGGTTTGCTATCCTGGCTCCAAGATGGTGGAATGAGCTCCCCATTGACATCAGGACGGCAGATAGCTTGCACATCTTCCGGCGCAAACTGAAAACTCATCTCTTTCGACTCCACTTCGAGCGTTAGAACGATTAACGAAGCACTTTTATACCAATAAAGGACTGGCTTACCTAAAGCCAGTTGAGTAGCACTTGAAATGTTTGGCTCTATGAAACCTGATATACTTATATGATTCTGTTTTCTTCAAGGTTGTGTCTTCCTGGTCGAATGTACTTATTGTAAGTCGCTTTGGACAAAAGCGTCAGCTAAATGCAATGTAATGTAATGTAATGTAATAAATAAAAAATAAAATAGACTTCTGGAACTGTTTGCAGGTTTTCTATGAGCACTGCAATGTATTATTATTACTATTCTAAGTGTGAATAAAGTGTGAATAACTGAAGTCCTCCTACCGTCCTCTTTGCTCCTGGCTCCCTCTCGGCTCCCTCTGTCGTCGGTCATGCTGGGGACGCGACAGACGGGATCTGCCGACCCGAAATAGCACATTATAATACATGTCATTACATTAAAATACATTTGCAAAGCACCTTTAAACTCTTGGCCATGCCTACAGGAGAAATGTGGGGTTTCAATATCTTACCCCAGGGCAATAATGAATCATGACAGATATATGTGACCTTAATATCGATCAACTTAATATAAAGGCGCATTTGGTATCGTAAAAATGAAATGAGAGAAGATGGTTCCCAATAAGTACATTTTTTGACATTGTTCTTTCAATGTTTAAGTAATACTTCAATAGTGTTTTCCATTTTCTGAATGTCAATCTATTTTATTATATCAACCTCTTTTAAACTGCTGGCAAATATAACAATCTGTCCAACAACATCAATGATATGGAACATCCAGGTAGCAAGGCAATGCAGCAGCGTTCTTTTCTGTGCTCTGAGTCTCACTTTTTATTTAATTTCATTTGTATTTGTTCCGTTCATGGTATGCACAACTTAATGTATAACAATTATTTACAAAACATGTCTCTATAAACACACCGTACCCGGAAAGGAGCAGAAAGATTACCGGCCCTTTTCTCAAAAAAAATGTATAAATGTAACTAGATGGTCTGTCCTTCATATTTTCTTATTCACAGCCAATCATAACAGTATCGTGGGAAAATAAGAGAAACACAAAAACGTCCACTCAGTTCCCACTTGACAGTTAACGGAAATAATCTAATCTAAAACACCAAAACATCACGTAATCACATTGTTCTGGGAAACCTACCGGCTTCTGCAGGTTCAGCAGTGGTGCTGAGCCCACTGCTGCCCTTCCCCCAGCTGCCCCAGCTGCCCCAGCTGCCTTTACCACCGGGGCTCAGGACCTGATTGTTGAAGTCAAGAGCAAAACATTTAAATACTCCAGTAAAGTACCTCAACATTTTACTCAAGTACAGTACAATACAATAACATAATTCGGAGCTTCGGGGACAGAGCCTTCTCTGTAGCAGCCCCGAAACTCTGGAACTCCCTCCCCCAAGACCTCCGTGAGTCTGAGTCCCTCACCCTGTTCCAGTCCTGCCTCAAAACCCACCTCTTCAACTCTGTATCCAAAAGCCCCCCCTTCCTTAACCAACTTCCTCCTGACTGCTTTTCTGTTTTGGTTTTGTTTTGTTTTGTTTGTCGACCCTCCCTCCCAAATATAAAGCGTCTTTGGGTTCAAGAAAAGCGCTATAGAAATAAAAATTGATTATTATTATTATAATTATATATATTTGATTTATTTCACATTTAAATAAAGCAATGTTAATTCGGTTAACAATTTGTTTAGTTTTTCCGTTTAAAAAAGAACAAAAAGGACCTATAAAAATACCGTTAAAGTACCAGATCGATAAGCAGTATCGATAACAGAGTTTCCGTTAGCCGGTAATTACCGGACTACGACCGGTAAAATATGCTGAAGACCGGCAAATCTAAATCTCTCCGGTCAAAGTGTCTGTTCAAAATAATTTCCGTTTAGCACAATACCACATCAATTGCGCAACTTGCACCATTTATGTGACAGACAAAAGAGTATGTGACAGACAAGAATAGTCAATTATAATGTCTAACACTTAATGTGGAGAAAGAGATGTCCTGTATGGGTTGATTGTGCGTTGATCTGTTGGTAATGTCTCGCGGTTCCGGTTGGCATGTAAATAAATGCATAATGCTGCGCTATACTTTGTGGCCTCACCCGGTTGCATACCGACACTTATTGTTTAGGTGTCTTTTAATAAGCAGGTAGTCCTATCCAGAGACGTGCACACATAGACTCTAGGTAGTGCTTGAGCACCTGCCCGTTTTGCCCTCTGGACAGCAATGTGCCCTTTTGAAAGTTCGTTTTTTACAGTTTAAAAAAAAAAAAAATTACAGTGTACTGTATGTGGCTCATGGTAACATCGATCAATTCTGGATTAAAAGCTTCTAATATATACAACAATGCCCCAAATGCGCGTTGTAATTGTGTCAGACATCCCCACACGTGCCCCGCGGCACTCCCGTATACGTGCCCTGGCTGCAGCCCCTCCCTTCCCTGCTCTCAACGTGAACGCGCAGCGCGCAGAGCTGACAGTCAGTCAGGTCAGACAGACAGGCCACGGCGGGTGTGTGGTGCAGCAGCACGCAGCAACACGATAGTGCCCTAGTGACGACCAAGTAAGTAACCACCAGGTAACAAATACAACGAGTGTATTGTTTAATCCCCTAAATCAGATGCCAAACTAAACTATACAGGGTTCGTACGGTCATTGAAAACCTGGAAAAGTAATGGAAATTCCAAATGCAAATTCCAGGCCCTGGAAAAGTTATGGAAAACAATATTTTTCCCAAAGTTTTGGAGAAGTCATGGAAATGTAACTAAAGTTGCGTCAAATATAATTTACATTTTATCTAATCGCCGAAATAATTTGCGGTCGCGAGCTGTTATTTTTTAATATATGAAGCGCGAGCTGTGTGCTCGAGTCTTCTTGCCTGTCGGGCCGGCTGAACTCTGCTGCTCCGGGATGAGGCTCAGCTACATTATCTACGGTGTGTTCGTTAACTGTGCGGAGTCACTGTGGCACAGACTGAGCCGCTGGCGAACAGCTGTTAGAACGGGCCGTTCAGGTGTTCAGAGCAGAGCGACAGAGCGTGATATGAACTGGAACGTTTTTCTGTCGCAATATCATTGTCACTATCTGCTAACGTTAGCTTTAGCCTTCGTTTTCTAATAGTTTTTTTCATAGGCTATAAACAGAGGTGGTATACGTATAGAGATTGTAGGCTACTAGAGTAAAGTACTCAGATCTTGTACTTTAGTAGAAGTAGAAGTACTCAGATCTTGTACTTGAGTAAAAGTAGAAGTACTCAGATCTTGTACTTGAGTAAAAGTAGAAGTACCAGAGTGTAGGAATACTCTGTTACAGTAAAAGTCCTGCATTCAAAATGTTCCTCAAGTGAAAGTAGAAAAGTATTATAAAAATACTAAGAGGCATGAAAATACATTTTCAAAATGCTCAACAGTGCTGCCAAAATTATAAACTGACTGCTACACAATTAAAATAAATGCTTTTATATATTTCTATTAGATGTAACTCTTTGGCGTTTCTGTTATTATTACCTGCTGCTTTAGTTGTTCTGACTGCTAAAATCATCTGTTATTCCTAATTTTAACCCGATATTCTGTGGGGTCGGGGGGGTCGGATCCTTGTCACCTTTTTCATACCTGATGAGTTTGCATCCCTGACTACAGTTGCTTTAGCGTGTAGAAGCTAGTAAGCCTACTATTTGATTTGTTTTAGATAGGCATCTGCATCAGACAGCATATGGTTATTGAAATAAATATATATGCAATTACGACATACAAGATGTGCCTTTAATAAATCTCACACTACTAAGGCAGCCGGCGGTTCCACCAGGGGCGTCAATCCCGGGGGGGGTTCGTCCCCCCCCTAGCTTCAGATTGGACCCCCCTAAGTCATTTAGAATAATAAAAATAAATGTTAAAATAATTAATTTTTTGATAATAAATCAGTAAAATCAGGCAAAAATAAGAATTAAATAACATAACCCTAACTTAACCCTAACCCTAAAACCGAAATAAAGTAACCAAAAACCAAAAAGAAACTAACAAAATCCGCCATTATCCGGCACATTTTTGCGCGCAATTTCGGGGCGCACAATTTCGGAGCGCACAATTTCGGCGCGACCGCCACGACGACTCAGAAGGTGCCCTTTTTTTTTCTCTTGAGCACCTGCCCCTATAAATGTCTGTGCACGCCACTGGTCCTATCATTAGCTAGAGCTGGATCTGATCGATATGGACATAAATGCGAGTGAAGTCTAATCTTACGGGAGAGAGAGATCAGCTGCTGCTGACGAGTCGACGCGCAGCTCTGCATGATCACCTGCAGCGGTGAGCGGAACAAACACACACTTCAGGTTAGAATATCACACGTAGCTAATTACCTCTCAAACTACCGTAACTAGATATGTTTAGTTTTACTGTCGGGTCACTCATTACTGATCCGCGAGCTGATACTGACGGGCTGTCAGGAGAGGGAGAGCGCTCCGTTTATTATTCCAGTGTTATTGTAAATTACTGTTCACTTTTGAATAGTGTAGTTAATCTACTACAGTATTAGTTTGTTTAATATCGAATCATATCAATTTGTTTTAAAGCTCAATAAATAACAAAGAAGACCTTTGACCGGCACTTTTCTCATTTTGTCCGGAAGATTTAAACTTTAACGGACATGTTGACCGGCGAAAAAATATTCTAACGGAAACTCTGATCAATAAGAGTAGTAGTACCGTTAAAAACCTTAACGATACCCATCCCTAGATATTACACAAGTAAAGTGTTAAGAGAGTGAAATGTTGCTTTACGAATTTCAACACTTGATGCTGTCACATTGATTCCAATTTCAGATACCTGTATTTGAATTAGTTTAAAAAGAGGAAACATTTTGACTAAAACTGGACTAAAATGTTTTGAGTTTTCGTCTAAAACTATGAAGGATAAAAATGACTAAAATGTGACTAAAACTAATAACCATTTTCGTCTACAGACTAAGACTAAATCAAAAATAGCTGCCAAAATTAACACTGCCACAGCATCTTCAACCATGTAATATGAATGTTGATGTAGCTACATACATACTGAGACATTAGTATTAATAATATATTTAATTTTTATAGCGCTTTTCCTAGTGCTCAAAGACTCTTGTAAAGACGTAATACCAAGTCAAACTCAGCCTTTCTAAGAAACTGAAACTAAAACCAGCAAACACACTAATGAATCTAACTAAGGTCTCAGTATGTAAGTATGTAGCTATATTAACACAGTGCCCAAGTCAAACTCAGACCCCATTTACATGCGTTTTCCAAAAAGTATTCCGTTCACACGCATTCGATTAATTTAACGTGTCCGTTGACACGAGACCGCTGGAAACGCTGTAGTACATATGCCAGGCCTGTAAGTGGCGCTGCTGCCGCTACAAAATACACCAAAAGCAGCGAAGAAAACCCCGGAGCATGGTTGCCCTTCTGTTTATTCTCCGCGGTGGACGGTGTGTGCTCCTGCTGTAAATCTCTCCGGTAGTCCACCAGCAGATGAAAAACACCCACCTCTCCGCCTCTTCCAAGGGACAAGGGAACCGTGCAGCAGAGTTTCCTTTAAAAAAAAAAATCGCCGGTCAACATGTCGGTTATAGTCAAATCTTCCGGACAAAATTTGAAAAGTGCCGGTCAGAGGTATTCTTTGTTATTTATTGAGCTTTAAAACAAATTGATAACGACTCTATATAATAATATAAGAATAATAAATGAAGCCTCTCTTTTCCTCCCACTCTTCTGACAGCCCAGCAGCTGATCTATGAGCAGGAGAGGTGGGGAGAGGGAGGCGGGGCTATTTCATCGTTATCAGAAAATGATCGTATAGCCGTTTGCCCCCCCAGAGCGTTCCGTTTGCAGATCTATCCACCGTTATCGTTTGCGGGGTCCGTTTCTATCGTTTTGTTAGAGAAAATATGCGTTTTTGCAAGAGAAACTATGCGGATACAACCCGTATCGTCCTCGTGTAAACGAGGTCTAAGAAACTGAAACTAAAACACACTCATGAAACAAACTACAACCTAAAACGTTGAAGGTAGAAAGAAATAACAAAAATCGTATTGAAATCGTATTGAAATCTTGCATTCCTATCCAAGTGAAGCGTCCTTTCTCCTACTGGTTGGTTTTTGCAGATGGGTACTGTGTTCCAGCCTCCGTCCTGGGGAATTGGCCATTGGCACTATGAAGGATAAAAATGACTAAAATGTGACTAAAACTAATAACCATTTTCGTCTACAGACTAAGACTAAATAAAAAATAGCTGCCAAAATTAACACTGCCACAGCATCTTCAACCATGTAATATGAATGTTGATGTAGCTACATACATACTGAGACATTAGTATTAATAATACATTGAATTTTTATAGCGCTTTTCCTAGTGCTCAAAGACTCTTGTAAAGACGTAATACCAAGTCAAACTCAGCCTTTCTAAGAAACTGAAACCAGCAAGCACACTAATGAATCTAACTAAGGTCTCAGTATGTAAGTATGTAGCTATATTAACACAGTGCCCAAGTCAAACTCAGCCTTTCTAAGAAACTGAAACTAAAACACACTCATGAAACAAACTACAACCTAAATCGTTGAAGGTAGAAAGAAATAACAAAAATCGTATTGAAATCTTGCATTCCTATCCAAGTGAAGCGTCCTTTCTCCTACCTTAGTGATTTTGCTAAAGCGAGTGGCGTCAATGGGTCGGCTTTTGGTGGAGATGGGAACTGTGTTCCAGCCTTCGTCCTGGGGAGTTTGCCCTCGGCCCTGGTTGCCACGGCCCCCTCGACCTCCTCCGTCGTTCCTTCCTCCGTCATTTCTGCCTCCGTGGCCTCCTGACGGCTTAGAGATGAAGGCATGCTGCACCTTTATCTGCTCCAGTTGCTCCTCCAGCTCGGCATCTGTGTGGATTTGCTCCATCGTCTTTGAGCCCTGTTCGCCTCTCCTGGAGACCCACGAGCTCTGGAGGGGAGGAAGTAGAATATAGAGGTTGTCAGAATCAGAATACCTTAGGAAATCCAGTCCACTCTGAAGGGATCTACCGATAGATGTGATAAGGCCTGGCAGCCATTGATCACACACACAGAGAAGTGCAAGCTGGATTTAACACTTTGAAGAGTATGTATTTGACTGCTCAATGACATTCTGTATGATTTTTCTTTAAAATGAAAACATTCAACAAAAATACCTTAATCGTCCCACATAATCGTAAAAAAATATTAAAGATGTCGGGACATTGACGGGATTATTTGGGACATGATTTGCTCCCTCTGTGTGTATTGGATCATTAAATGGCAGTCAAAATGTTTACAAATATCAAAATGTTAGTGTGTTAGTGTGAATCACCGATTCCAACAACATTTTTTAAGAAACATTTGTTTTGCTTCTAATATGGGGAAATATTAGGAAAGAAGCAGAAAAGTTGATGTGGCTTTAGATCCAATTAGCCGCTTTCACACCAAGTACTTTGCTGTACTTAGTGCCGGCACTTAGTACCCCAGGGCACTAACTACCAATCGTGTTCACACCGGAGTACTTTTCCCTGAGGGAAGATTACGCAAATGAGTCGCTGACGTCACTTCGTCTTCTTCTGCTTTGGGTTTACTGGCAGGCCGCAAACAACTTCACGGCGTATACTGCCACCCGAAGTCCCCGGCCGGAAGTCCCCGGAGTTGGGGACTGGCTTCAGTAGAAGCTGCTGGGACTCCCAGCAGCAGCTACTGAAGCCTTCCGAGTAAATCACCAGGGGTTGAGGAGCTTGACGTTCGTCAACTATCAGCAGGAGGGCGGGGGAGCCTCGCTGCGGGGAAGCAGTGTGTGGACCTGTCAGCGCAACATACATGATGCCGAATTTATCAAACACATTTAAATAATTGGTTTAAACGGCATAATAATAAGGACGTTCGTCCGTTCTGTGATTCTCCAGAGCACACGTTATGATATTAGGGTCATGCAGAGTGAGATGAATGAGATCGCTGTCCCTTTAAGAGAGAGAGGTGTGTATGTTTCTGGAAGTGAAACGAGGAAGCAGAAAAACAGAGGTCTGTGATGTATTTTGTGAAACAGAAGAACAGCTAAATAAATGCAACGGCCTCATGCTGCCGTCTCATTGTAAGTTTGGCCAATGTGCTGACTGTGCAGCTGATGTTAGCTTGTTAAAACACTGAAAGAGGTTTTGTAACACTATGTGGGCGGTGGGCAGCATTCCTTCAGAGAAATAATCTTAAACTGGACTGGCTTCATAACACACACACACACACACACACACACACACACACACACACACACACACACACACACACACACACACACACACACACACACACACACACAAAAACGCCTGTGTTTGAATCACAATTGAGAATTCTCTCTTTAGAAACTACTTGTGTGTATTTATTTTTTAATATGTTGTATTATGTTTTTTTGAATTGAATGATCAAAATATTCTGGTCATATGCGTTTAACGGTTTGTCTTGTAGTTTGTTAAGTTCTTTGATCATTGTTTTTTATACTTAATAGTTTACTGGCTTGTATCTCCAATACCCAGAACTACTAATAAGAAATTAAATCATCCTTAAATTGACTTATGCTGCGTTCACACCGGACGCGATGCCACGCGATTACATGTAAAGTCAATGCAGGGACGCGGATAGACGCGAATTCGCTCCGACGGCGAGCATGAAGTGGTGGACGCGGCGCGAATCACGCGATTGAGAAGATTGAAGGGGGCCGCCTCAAACGCGAGAGTTAAATTTTTTCAACTCGAGCGTCAAATTCATATGGCCAATCAGAGGTGAGGATCTCAGCCTTCCGTCACTGACGTTCAACCAGAAAAGATCAGCCATTAGCTGTTACTGTAGCAGTTAGCACACAGAGATCACAGCTCCTCATATCTGTTCAGAAACTGGACAAAAGTTAAACAAGTGCAAACCACAGACTGTCTGTGTCATGGCGAATACAGTCGCTGGTTTATTTATGTCTGTAGGCCGTTGTAATGAGTATGGAATGAGCACAACGTTAGCTTAGCCTGGTCGACGCGATCTTCATTCAGAAAACACGCATTTTAAAAGGTTTTTCGCCTGCCGTCTGTCTGCAGACTTGTCAAAGCATTAATTCATGGTTTTTACTAACCGGTATCAGTATGTTGTTACTTCGACATCATTTAGAAACGTGTATTACAATTTAATCACCGTAAAATATGTTCATTTTGTTGTAGTTGAAGCTCCGGAGCCAGCGCGTCTTGTTTGAATGACACGAGTAAACACAGCTGGCAGCCGCTGTGAAACTCGAGCGTTTAGAGCGAATATTTGCATCGCGTCCGGTGTGAACGCAGCATTAGGAGCTGTCTTCCTACCTGTCAGCCTATAATAAAAACGACTCTTGTTGTGCTAGTGCAGGGGTGGCCAACCAGTCAGAGGTTAAGAGCCACATTTTTTCTATGTTACTGCAAAGAGCCACATCAAACACACAGGCACTGATACCGCTTGTTTCCGTTTTTTTGTTTTCTGGAGACAAGATTTCAACCACGTCACTGATGCATCTTTGTGGCATTGGGATATATATTTTTTAAATCCTCTGGAGCAGAGAGAGGAGCTGTGGATTATTGTTATTGATTAATGCATCAGTGTTTCTTAGGGTCAAAAACACTAAATTCACAACTTAAAATGAAAGCGTTTAGTTTATTTAATAAAAGAGCACATGTTCAATGTGAACAGTGACAGTAGTTATAGATTATTTGCAATTTGGTGCTATATATATTTAAAAAAAAAAATTATATATATTTTTTAAACACCTTGAATTTCAGGGGGGGGCGCGGGGCTCCGTTGGCGGGGCGCAGCGCCCCTCCAAAACAATGGTAGGGGAAACACTGGATAGTGTTTAATCAACGATAGGTTTCCCCCCCTCAAAGGTGATTGGTTCACTGCATCGCAGGTATTATTGTGATTGGCTCTTGGGCCACATCAAAATTAGATTTGCTGTCATCCTCTCATACTGACACCTGACACCACACATACACACCGGGAGCCGGGACGAAAGTAACACGGGACGAAAGTAACGGAACGATTTTATCCGAGCCCAAACAACTTTGACCGGCCAAATTACGTTAATACTTAACAGACCTACTAAATATCAGGTTTAACTGTCAGGAGTAGCTAGTGTTGTCACGATACCAACATTTTGGTTTCGATACCAAGTCAAGAATTGCGATTCCGATTATTTTTTTAAATGTAATTATTGTGCTTTATTTCACACCAGAACCATAACCATAACACAAACTTTTAAACAATGAGAACAATAAATTAAATAAATGACAAGATTTCCTATTAAATACAATTAATACATTTCTTACAGACAGGCCTCGTGGTGTCCGTAGGCTTGCCCTCACTGTCAGAGATATAGCTCAAATACTTCCAAATTTCGCTTCTGGCGTCTTTTTTGTCAACAAGCCGAGGCGCAGCGGCAGTTGCACTCCCACTTGCAGCCATGCTTCTCGTTTTCTCACATGCTCTGGCAGCTAGCGCGTGCACGAGAGAGGGGAGGGACTTAGAGCGTGCTTGAGAGGGGCGGGACTGCAGGCACGGCTGCAGTGCAGGGAGTGGAAGCAGAGCGCTGAACACACACGGCTCTTATTAAAACGGCGCTTTCTCACCGGAGTACTTTCCCCCGTCATTCTTAAAGTACCGATACTAATGAAACGGAGGAATCGTAACATTTTTAAGGGCAGGGTATCGCGGTACCTTTCAAGTATCGGTACACCGTGCAACACTAGTCAGGAGTCAGTGTCTCTCCCCCAAACTCACACATATACAATTCGATATGAACTGAAGAGCCGCATGAAACTAGGCAAAGAGCCGCATGCGGCTCGAGAGCCGCGGGTTGGCCACCCCTGTGCTAGTGTTTACCCGTCGAAGGTCCAGCACGTCCTGCAGCATGAAGCGGATCTTGAAGCTGGTCTTCTTGTCCTTTATGATTTTCTCCATCTGATTAAAGTACTGGTCCATACGAGGCTAAGGAACAAACACAGCAGTGTGGTGAGTACATCTTCCACAAAACAAATTAAAACATGATCCAACAGCATGCATATACTGTAGGCACGTGGTCTGTAGAGCTGACTCAAGCAAAACATTTAAAAAACGAATCAACACTTCCTTTTAATTGTTAAAAATGTTTTTACCCAATTGCAATTGTTTGTTTGAATGTTAACTTCTATAGGTTAAAGTAGAATGATGAATGATGACACTTCACATTTTGATGGTTTACACAGACTTTGGGATCGTTAAAACAATTCTTTGCAAAGGTGGGACATTTTCTTCATCTGGATTCTTGTATACCAGCAGTTTCCAAAACAAAACACGAAATTGCTCATTGAGGAATAGTTTAGTCTAAATGCACTTCGTACCTTGGCCTTCTCGAAGTCGAGGTCCTTTCCGATGGTGGACAGCAGTCTGCAGAGGCACTCCAGAGACTCTTCGTCGTGGTTCTTCAGCAGCTTCACGATGTTGTTGTGCATGATGACCTCTGTGAGCATTTTCAGCTTGAACAGCTCTCCAATGAACTTCATGTTGCCCATCGAGCGCCTGTGGGCGTTGTCTTTCTCGCACTGCAGCTGCTCAGTGAGACGCTGCTTCTCCTCCGGCTGCAGGAGGAACAAAGTCACGGGGAAATGGAAGAGATGTTGTTGTTTGAATAATCTGAGAATAATATAAATCTGGTCAAATGTGGGTTTCGAAACGGATAAATATATATGTTTTAAAGGTTACTGAAGAATGTGCAATAAAAAGATCAAATACAAAAATAATATTTATTTATATACAAGAAAAATGTGCAATAAAAATAAATGTAATAAAGATATTTATGAGGAAAATAGTAATATAGTAATAATCCTAAGTGATATGGGTAAGTAAGATGTCCAATAGAAAGGTAAACATGTGCACAGTGTAATACAATTTGCAAAATATGTAGTTTTTATGTGTATTACTAAGATATTTTCCAGAATTACAGTTTAAAAGGGTTTAAAAGTGCCAGTCTGTTAACTCATAATGGCTTCCCTCTGATTTATGTTCACCTTCAAATACTCCCCACCACACATACAAAATAAAACACCGAGATCACTTCTTTTGTGCATAAACAAAGACCCTAAATTGAGATTTTGTAGGCAGTACTGTACCACTGTGGCAGTATCCAGCTCTTTCTGCTTCCTCTCGAAGATCTCGTCGTCAACTTGGTCCTTTTCGAACTCCTTCTGGCATCGGTTTAGCAGCAGCTTGCGGAAGTTCACAGTGAATCCCGGCTTATCTGTGGTTTCAACTTTAAGCTGGAAAATAGAACAGCAAACACACACAATTAAAGATTATTACCAGTGGTGTAGTGGGGATTTTTTTACTGGGGGGACTGTTTTTGTAGTGTAGTCTTTTGTAGAAATTTTTAATTTATTCTTTACATAACCCCGGACCCCCCTAGAGGATGTGACGTCCACCCCCCAATTCAAACATGTTCATACAATAATGAATACATTTGAAGCCATTTTGACGTCCATCACCTATGTCAATACGTTTCTGTTTTTGTAGTGTAGTCTTTTGTAGAGATTTTTCATTTATTCTTTACATATAAAATCTCGCCTAGGGCAGCAAATTGGCTAGAACCGGCCCTGGTACTAGGCCTCAAGAGCCTTTCTTGTGCTGGCAGACACATAGAAAGAAATTGGCGGGGCGCACTCTAAAAAAATTCCACGCGCTCCGCACTCACATTATGTTGAGCCCACATGCCTTAGCACCGCTGCTATGACTCCATCCTAGGGGAAACACTGGGTGTATAAACAGTATTTTGTCCTTTTTTCAAGACTGAAAGTAGTTTTAATGAACAGATCTTTTGTTGTTTTCTTGCGGAAGTGGAAGCAAATTAATCTTCCACTTCTCAATTTATTTCCCGTAACTTTTCTTTCCATATTTTTATCAGTGGTTAGTTTCCAGAGGGGTCAGAAGCTCAAGATAAGCCAACTGCAAGGAAATGTGCCGGGACGTAGTCGTAGTAGTTATGTTACGCATATATAAGCTGACCAAATATATAAAAATATGTAAGTCAGAGTATCACGTCGAACTCCAAGATGAGAGTTTTTTTCTCTTTTGAAAGATTCTCCACTGTGCAATAAATGCAAATAAATAAATTAAAAAAGCTTATATTTATTTTCACGTTATTTGTCGTCAAAGCTACAGAGAGAGCCGACCCCGATGGTGTCAAACAGTGCACATCTGTAGAAAGACCCTTACAACAACAGTCCATAAAGGTAAGGTAGGTAGGAATGGAGAGACCAGCTCGAGTGCGCTAGAATTTGAAAATGCACAACCGAAAAAAAAAAGTTTACTCTAAGGTACTCGAAAGGAGGGTCAGGCCGATTGTCGAACCTCAGATTGAGGAGGAACAATGCGGATCGTGGAACGACGGATCAGCTTTTTACTCTCGCAAGGATCCTGGAGGGGGCCTGGGAGTACGCTTATCCGGTCAACATGTGTTTTGTAGACTTGGAGAAGGCGTATGACCGAGTTCCCAGGGAGTTACTGTGGGAGGTGCTGCGGGAGTATGGGGTGAGGGGGTCTCTACTCAGGGCCATCCAATCTCTGTACTCCCAAAGCGAGAGCTGTGTCCGGGTCCTCGGCAGTAAGTCGGACCCATTTCCGGTGAGGGTTGGCCTCCGCCAGGGCTGCGCTTTGTCACCAATCCTGTTTTGTAATATACATGGATCGGAGTTCGAGGCGTAGTCATGGGGGAGGGGGTCTGCAGTTCGGTAGACTAAGGATTGCACCACTGCTTTTTGCAGATGATGTGGTTCTAATGGCTTCATCGGTCTGCGACCTTCAGCACTCACTGGATCGGTTCGCAACCGAGTGTGAAGCGGCTGGGATGAGGATCAGCACCTCCAAATCTGAGGCCATGGTTCTCAGCAGGAAACCGATGGACTGTCCACTCCAAGTAGGGAATTAGTCCTTACCCCAAGTGAAGGAGTTCAAGTATCTCGGGGTCTTGTTCTCGAGTGAGGGAACAATGGAGCGTGAGATGGGCCGGAGAATCGGAGCAGCGGGAGCGGTACTGCAGTCGCTTTACCGCACCGTTGTGACGAAAAGGGAGCTGAGCCAGAAGGCAAAGCTCTCTGTCTACCGGGCCATTTTCGTTCCTACCCTAACCTATGGTCATGAAGGATGGGTCATGACCGAAAGAACGAGATTGCGGATACAAGCGGCCGAGATGGGTTTTCTCCGCAGGGTGGCTGGTGTCTCCCTTAGGGATAAGGTGAGAAGTTTGGTCATCAGGGAGGGACTCGGAGTTGAGCCGCTCCTCCTTCGCGTCGAAAGGAGCCAGTTGAGGTGGTTCGGGCACCTAGTTAGGATGCCACCTGGGCGCCTCCCTAGGGAGGTGTTCCAGGCACGTCCAGCTGGGAAGAGACCAAGGGGTAGACCTAGGACCAGGTGGAGGGATTATATCTCTTCGCTGGCCTGGGAGCGCCTTGGGATCCCCCAGTCAGAGCTGGTTGATGTCGCCAGGGAAAAGAAAGTTTGGGGCTCTCTGCTGGAACTGCTACCCCCGCGACCCGACCACGGATAAGCGGGAGAAGATGGATGGATGGATGGACAACCGAAAAAAATCTGCCTCTTCCTTCAGACTCCTTTCCTCTGGAAACACACACGAACGCACACATGACCAATGAGGGCACGAGATAAGTTTGTGCACAGATGGAAGGCTGACAGGCAGGTAGGCCATCCAGTTACTTTAGCCGGGCCGGCTCAGATGATTGGTCGTGCTTTTTACAGCGCCACGGCTTCCACAGATGACATTTTTTATGTATTTATTGTCAAAGCATTTAATATATTCATTGCTATCGGGATGTTAAGAACATTCCATGGAATATAACAACAAGTGTTTCTCAAGTGAATTACCTACCCCACCTTGAAGTTGTGCATACCATGAACGGGACAAATCAAAATGAAATGAAAACACCTTAATAACAATCATCGGCTTGGCACCACTTACCCCCATGAGGCAGCGGCACATGTTGCCGTAGACCACGGAGAAGTTAGGCTCGGCGATGGCCTTCTCGAAGGTCAGATCGATGACTCCTTTCAATCTCTCCTCCGTGTCGATGGTGAGATTGTTCACCATCTTCATGAGCTGCTGAAACTTCTGCGGGGTGAGTTTGTTGAGGATGCTGCGAACACTTTTAAACAGCTCCTGGGTCTTCCCGTGCTCCGAGTCGTCACTCTCACTCTCGACCTCCACGCGGGTTTTCTTCGTCGAAGGTTTACACGCCTTCTCCGCCTTGTTCAGCTGAATGTCATCGCTCAGAGACTGCATCTGCGCCGAGCGACGAGGACCCCCAACACCCATACCCATACCTGGAGGCTGAGAGGAGACGGAGATGTTTAATTCATTCATGGGCGACAAGGATTATAATTACTTTAAATGTTATTGAAATATGTAGAACACATTTATTTATGGTTTTGTAATTATCAACCGCACTGATAAATACATGTACAATAACTTACTTATTGACTCGTTTACATGTTGTACTGCCTTGACCGTATTGTTCCTGTATTTGTATGATAATGTCGTATTGTTTTGTAAGTGTACTGTTCAATTTGGCATAGGTCACTATAGTATAGGCTATATATTAAAAGTAGGGCCGGGACTTTAACGCGTTAATTAAGATTAATTAATTACACAAAAATTAACGCGTTAAAAAAATTAACGCATTTTAATCGCACTTATTTTTGCACCGCGGAACGTTTCTCACTGGATGAGTTTCAGGCGTACCGATTATACTGGAGCACCAACTAACGTTCATGACTTCAGACAACAACAAACCACAGTGAACAACAGTGGGAAATGTTGTTTTAAAAAACGGACGGATGGAAGCGTCGATAAGAGCACGGTTGTGTGCAAATTATGCAAAAAGGAATTCGCATATCACCGCAGCACATCAAGCCTCAAGTATCACTTCAATGCAAAACATATAGCAGCTAGCGTGGAAGCGTGGACGTTAGCCTCTTTTATCGCGTTCACACCAAAAAGAGCCGGTACTAAAATTAGTTCATGAGAACCTTTTTACCCCCACGAAAGTCCCTGCTAGAGAGCAGTGAGCTGCTAGAGAGCAGGGACTTTCGTGCGGCTCTCATTGTGAGAAAATAGCTATATTTCTGATTGACTGGGCGGATTGCAAACCACGCCCCGTAAAACTCCCAAAAAGTTTTGTGAAGCCGCCATTTTATTATCCTCGCATTAGCATTATTAGCATTAGCCCAGCGCAGAAACGCAGAGAGACTAACTTATGGCAACACAAAATAAAACATGGGAGCGGTGGAGATGAGGAGGTGTCGGCGTTCTGGCGATTTACTCGGAAGGCTGCTGGGACTCCCAGCAGCTTCTACTGAAGCCAGTCCCCAACTCCGGGGAATTCCGGCCGGGGACTTTGGGCGGCAGTATACGCCGTGAAGTGGTTTGCGGCCTGCCAGTAAACCCAAAGCAGAAGAAGAAGAAGTGACGTCAGCGGCTTCATTTGCCTAATCCTCCCCCAGGTTCAAAGAGTTCTCATGAACTAAGTTCTCATGAACCTTTGTGGGAAAAGTACTGCGGTGTGAATGCGCCTAATGGTATACTAAAATCCATGTGAAAAAAATTGCTTCTCACTGTTCTCAGGTCAAATATTTATATGTGATAAAAAAAATGCGATTAATTTCGATTAATTAATTACAAAGCCTCTAATTAATTAGATTAATTTTTTTAATCGAGTCCCGGCCCTAATTAAAAGTGTTAGCTTGTATTGTCAAAATGTTACTTCTACTGTCTGTTATGTGTGATTGCACCATCGGGAATGCTTGGAATTTCGCTGTGTAGTGACAATAAAGGAATCTAATCTAAATATGGAATAGTGCAATATTTAGTGCATGATATTTGATGAGGGCTAAGTATTGGGGCTGTCAATGATGACGTGTTCACTCTCGCGATACATCTAGAAACATTAAAACATTAACAAGTTCGAACTCAACTCCCTTCTGTATATCTAGCGGCAGATTTCTAATTCATTCAAGGGCGACAAAGATTACAATTACTTGAAATGTTATTTAAAGTGCATTACGGAATAGTGCAATATTCAAATTGCCGAGTGCACAATATTTGACGAAGGCTAAGTATTAGGGCTGTCAACCGTGACGCGTCAACTCTCCGCGTCGGGCCGAACCACGCCCCTTAGCCGTGATATAATGACCATATATCACGGCTTTTATAAAACGGTTACCAAGTATGGAAATATGAAAGAAAAATACACACTAATTTAAATAGTTTTTATTAGTAAATAATGATGTTCAAAATAAAATAGTCCCTCCGTTGCCTTCTGCACAAAACATAGAGTGAGGTGGTTGCTATGCAACAACACTAATAGCTAGCGAACATATTAGACAGAGAGCGTTGATCCATTATTTGGCTATTTATTTACATTAATGTGTCTGTAGCCGTTTATTGTGCAGCCACTGAAAACCTGTCCAGCATCAGTAGCATGGCTTACGAGGTCACTTGTATAGGTTGAGGTTGTTCTAGGCTGTTGCTTGGCGTGGCGAGAATATTGCTCCACTTTCTCCGGTCCCCGAGATTGGGCTTCCAGTAGCTCTGGAGAGAGCTTTCGCACCTGTGGCCACTAACGGTCATAATTTTTCTGCTTTGTTTCAAGACCCGCATCAGAAAGCTTTTGAATGGTGGTACTTCTCCAGTTGGTCTACCTGCTCTTCACGTAGCTCTGCATGTCGTCGTTTAGGTGCTTTTTGGAGATAGGCACTCCTCAATCCACTCCTCCAAAGTAAGGCCACCTTAAATGTTTCTATCTTAAGCTTTGTAAGTTTGTTTCATAACGGACGAAATGTAATAATATTTATAAAACAGACAAGTAAAATCAAGCAATCTGATTGGTCGATAGCGTTTTTGCGGACCTTTTGAGTACAGATTTGAAAACATCGCTGCTTGCTTTAAAAGTAGCACAGTTCATTATGTCAAACCTTGGAAAGTATCTAGATATCCCTGCCCTGATGCCAAAGTAACCGCACACTGAATGTTTTGCCGTCTGATGTCTATACCCAATATTAGCGGTGTGTGTGTCTGCCCAAGGACAAGTTAAGGTAAAACCTAATAGAGGTGTCATACATAATAACCTAATAAAAGTAAATGTAACAACTACTACAGTGCAACAAAACAGGAATATTAAATGTGGTCTCTTAAACATAAGATCTCTAGCATCTAAAGCAATATTGGTAAATGATTTAATATCAGATTATAATATTGATATATGCTGTCTCACTGAAACTTGGTTGAGACATGAAGAATATGTCAGCATAAATGAGGCCACTCCACCCAGCCATATCAATACTCATATTGCCCGAGGCACGGGCCGAGGAGGTGGAGTTGCAGCAATCTTTGACTCAAGTTTACTTATCAATACTAAACCAAAATTAAATTATACCTCCTTTGAAAGTCTTGTTTTTAGTCTTACGCATCCGACCTGGAAAACTTTGCAGCCAATCTTATTTGTTACAGTGTACCGTGCACCAAGTCCTTATTCAGAATTCTTATCTGAATTCTCTGAGTTTTTATCAACTTTGGTTCTTAAAACAGATAAAGTAATTATCGTAGGTGACTTTAATATTCATGTTGACGATGATAAAAATAGCCTTACTGTTGCATTTAACTCTATATTAGATTCTGTTGGTTTTTGTCAGAGTGTAAATAAACCAACCCACTGCTATAATCACACTCTCGACCTTGTTCTGACTTATGGTATTGAAATTGAGCAACTATTAGTCGAACCGCATAATCCTGCTTTATCCGACCATTTCTTAGTAACTTTTGAAGTACTGTTACGAGACTACAAAGCATTAGTCAAAAGCTCCTGCAGCAGAAACCTATCTGTTAGTGCTATAGCCAAATTTAAGGAAGAGATTCCACCAATACTTAACTCGATAGCATGTCTGCATGTAAGGGAGGAAACTTATACAAAATGTACACCACCCCAAATTGATCATGTTGTTGATAGTGCTACAGATGCGCTGCGAATAAAATTAGACTCTGTTGCTCCTTTGAAAAAGAAGAAAATAAAACAACATAGATTAGCTCCATGGCATAATGCCCAAACCCGCAAAATAAAGCAAAAGTCGAGACAACTTGAAAGGATATGGCGTTCCACTAAACTTGAAGAATCTCGTTTAATTTGGCATATTACTCTCAATGAATATAAGAAAGCACTGCGTAAAGCGAGAGCAGCCTACTACTCTTCATTAATAGATGAGAATAAGAATAATGCAAGATTTCTTTTCAGCACTGTAGCCAGGCTGACAGAGAGCCACAGCTCGATTGAGCCTTCTATTCCCATAGCACTCAGTAGTAATGATTTTATGTGCTTTTTTAATGATAAAATTGTTACACTTAGAAACAAAATTAATGACCTCTTGCCTTTGACCAGTATAGTGTTATCAACAGCTCCCGGAAACGTAAGTTCTAATATTACACTAGATAGTAAACTAGAATGCTTTTCAGCCATAAACCTTGAACAATTAAATTCAATGATTCTCTCTTCTAAACCATCAACGTGTATGTTAGACCCAATTCCAACTAAGCTGTTGAAGGAAGTTTTTCCATTAATTAGCACTTATTTATTAAATATTATGAATATGTCTTTATTATCAGGCTATGTTCCACAATCATTCAAAGTAGCAGTGATAAAACCGCTTCTTAAAAAGCACAACCTCGATCCAGAGGTTTTAGCCAATTATAGACCTATTTCCAATCTTCCGTTCCTCTCAAAAATTCTTGAGAAAGCGGTCGCAAAACAGCTGTGTGATTACTTAAAAAACAATGATTTATTTGAAGATTTTCAGTCTGGCTTTAGAACACATCATAGCACAGAGACAGCTCTGGTTAAAGTCACAAATGACATTCTAATAGCCTCTGACAAGGGACGTGTCTCTATTCTTGTTTTGCTCGATCTCAGTGCTGCATTTGATACTATCGACCATGATATCCTATTGCAAAGACTAGAGCACTTAGTTGGCTTACAGGGAACTGCTTTAGACTGGTTTAGGTCCTATCTATCTGAACGCTCTCAGTTTGTACGTGTCCATGATGAATCTTCCACGCAAACCAAAGTTAGCCATGGAGTGCCACAGGGCTCAGTGCTCGGACCTATTTTGTTCACATTATATATGCTTCCGTTAGGCAATATTATAAGGAATCATTCTGTACATTTTCATTGTTATGCGGATGATACTCAACTATATTTATCAATCAAGCCTGATGAAATTAATCATCTAAATAAAATTCAAGACTGCCTTAAGGACTTAAAAACGTGGATGACCTTAAACTTT